CACCTCAGGGCTTCCTGTGCAGCTCATTGTGTCGCATCTGTCCCTTGCTTTCCACTGCCACCCCATGACTTCAACTAAAGGGTCTCAGAGAGCCCTGCATGTGAGAATCACCTGGGGAAGTCTTAAAAACTCAGATTGAGGAGCTGGGGCAGTGGCATTGCAAGCTAATCTTGCCTCTATGTTGCTGGCATCCCCTCCCATATGAACACCTGTTCGAGGCCCAACTACTCCACTTCTGATTCAGCTCTCTGCTAATGCGCCTAGAAAAGCAGCAGAGGATGGCTCAAGTCTTTGGATCCCTGCACCCAAGTGGGAAACCAGGAAGAAGTTCCGTTGCCATTTGGGGAGTGAATCACTGGATGGAAGATCTCTCTATCTCCCTCTTTCTGTATAACTTTGATTTTCAAGTAAAAACAAATCTTAAAAAATAATTTTAAAAAGTCATGTTAAAAAAAAAACCCTCATGTTGATATGTCTGTCAGCTTAAGCAAATATCTGCAGGTCCCACTCAGAATTGTTGTTTAATAAAGTAACTTTGCCTAATCTGTGTTTTAAACTGGTAGGACAGTTCATATCTAAGTATATGATGTTGGCTTTTGTACCTAAGGAGACCTTGGTAGTTAGTTTCAAATCATGGCTTTTGGATTGCCAAAGCATCCAAGCTGTAACAGTTAGATTGCTAAAGTCAGAACATGAAATATATTCTTAACTGCATACAAACTTTATGAGAGAGGCCAGGGCATTTGGTTCAGGGTGGCAGGGGTCTCCAGACCTGGACTCTCTTCCAAGTGGTTTTGCTGTTTTTGCTGCCGCCTCCTTCCTTTCATTAAGGTCTGATAAGAACTTGAGTTCCCGTCAGTAACTGTTTTCTCATCCTCTGTTACTTGAATTTCCTATGTTTAGCAGTCCTGATGGGTGAACATTCTGTAATCATGTTGAAAGAAGCATTTCGTCGGCCCTTGCTCAGGTTTAGAGAAGTGGGGGCAGGGAGGGGATAGTGATTCATCCCCAGTGGGGCACTGTGCTGCTCCAGTGCCAGCAGGGGAAAGCATGTTTTCTGGGCAGATGACACATTAATGAAACACTATGTGGAAGATTGCAATATGTGTATGAAGCAGAAAATTATTCTTGTAATTCTGGAAATAGGATTTTACCATGGCCTTTGCAGTCATTCTCTGTTGTGTCAAGGATGCAGATAGAGTGCAGTAGGGATAAAGTTGTGGCTATCGAAAAAGTGCTAACATTGTGGCTGCAATGTAAAACTCTGGGGGTATCATATTAGGGCATATCAGATTATCATATCACATGGGAAGGACGTTTAATCTCTAGGTTAATTAACTAATTAAAAATCCCTGTTTGATCTCCTAATATTGGAGCTGAATTCAGACCTGGTAAAATAGGATAAATTCAAGACTCGAAATCTTGAGTCTGTCTCCTGCTAATTGTGTAGTTTTAGGCAGTCTGTTTAACAAAGTGTATTTCACTTTGAAGATGGTAGGAATGTGAGATGACACGTGGAGAATTGGACTGCCTTGGGACACATTCACATAATAATTTTCTTCTTTTTGTTTTATTACTGAAGACTTTAGGAACTTTATGTTTGAACTTTATTGTTTAGTCCAGCAAGAAGTTACAAGTGCTTTAAGATTTCCCCTTTTGTCTGTAAGCAGACGTGTATTATTTTGCTATGGCTGCTATACCATGTTTTCACAGCATTTGGCTTAAAACAGCACAAATGTATTCTTTGGGGACTCTGGAATCACAAGATTCCTGTGCTGAAACCAGGCTCTCTGGAAGGCTCTAGTCCCTGTGAACGCTCCTGACAGTTCCAGCTGCTTCTGGTGCCTGCTGGCCTTCCTGGGCTGGTGGTTGTGTTGCTCTTTAAGTGGCTTCCTGATCTTTCTTGAAGTGTCCTCCTCTGTCTATATCGTTCGGCCTCTTACATGTCATTACGTTTATTGCCTGCGCAAATAATCCAGGATAATCAACCTTGAGATCTTTAATCATGGCTGTAGAACACCTTTCTGTCATGTAGGCTGACAGTCCCAACTCCTATGGATGGGGACACAGGTGCTTTAGGGTGCGGGGACATTTTTCAGCCTATTGCAACAGGCAGTGTCGCATGACTCAAGCGATGTCCAAAGTTTCTGCTTGCCTTAAGACCACACCGCAGCACACACACAAAGGTATTGTGATGAGATGAATGACACAGTTCCTCAAGATACTCAGAGGGAATCGGAAAGCTGTGGTAGGAAACCTGTGCTTTTGTAGACAATGCGGGAACAGCTGAAGCTGTTTGGCTAGCAAAGTTGTTTTAGGAAGACTGATGATGTGTGGAGGATAGAATGTAGTGATAGAAAGATAAGAGTCACTGGTTAATCACATGCTTAGAAATGATGCTGAAGCCTCGTGGGAATGTCGGTGTGATCAGATCAGCAAGAAAAACAGGTGTCCAGAGGACGGAAGGAGTTTGTTGTTGGCAGCTGTATAAAGTCTAGAAAAAGTTCATTTCTGATCAGTGTCCTTGTAGAAACTGGAGTAGGAAATGAAGGGCCTGTGAGAAAGGCAGGAGGAAAATTGGAGTATGGGGTTTGGAAGCTGAAATCAAGATTGAAAAAGAAAAAGCTGAGCGAGTGTCTGCTACTGTGGAGGTTGAGGAACTTCGAGAACAAGGAAAAAGGTGGTTAAGGGATTGTGTTTATCATTATGACTAAGCCCGTTTAGCAGAGTGGTTTTGGGCAGATGCCAAAGTCTCAAAGATTAGGGAGGTGAGAAAGGAAGTAGTGGCTACAGAGACTGGTGGAGAAGGGAGAAGGGAAAGGGCGAGCAGGATAGACTGGGCAGTCAGGGCTGGAGCACTTTGGAGGAGTGGTTGATGTAGGATGGGTTATGAAAAGGTGAGAAGGAGCACTTTGGGGATAAGGTTTATTTATTTATTTATTTTTGTTAAGATTCATTTGTTTGAAAGGCAGAGTTAGGGAAACAGAGTGAGAAAGATCTATCTACTTGTTCACTCACCATCCTTCCCCACCGCAGACAGCCGCTAGCCAGAGTTGGGCCAGATTGAAGTCAGGAGCAAGGTTATCCTGGGCCACCCTCCGCTGCTCTCCCAGGCAAATTAGCAGGGAGTTAGATCGTAAGTGAAGTAGCTGGGACTCAAACTGGTGCCAGAACTGCAGATGGCAGCTTTACTCTCCATGCCATACCGTAGACCCAAGAAGCATGTGCGGGTGCAAGGGCAGTTTCAGGGTATGGGCTTGGAGAGGGCAGTGAAAGGATGGAGAAGCTCGGTATTGGGGTCAATTCACTGCTCTCCTCCCTGCACATTTCAATGTCCCAATTCTCCTCTTTTTACCTTTTTATTTTTGTCTATTTTTCTTATTTCTTTTTTTACAAGCCCATGTGTCAGGGGCTGATTTTTAATAGATCGCAGAGAGAGAGCTGCTCTGCTACATATGAAACCCCGATTGATATCCTAGTTCTTTAAAAATCACCTGGAATGGTGGAGCAGGTTGATAAACTCTGTCAGCCAAATCTGACCTGAGACTCGCTGTCTTTGTGAAGTCCCTTTATATATGTAGTATACATACATCACAGTGTTAGGGGAAAATAGAATTAGAAGATCGTATAGGTTTTTCATGAGCTTAAAAAATTATTGAAGAAGGGGAAAGACAGCAAGTATGTGTGCAAGAGAGCAAGCTGCCATCCACTGATTCACTTCCCAAATGCCCACAGCAACCCCCATTTGGAGCTGAAGCCTAGGGCCAGAAACTCAATCCAGGTCTCTCACTTACTAAGTCACTGAGTCATCATCACTGTCTGTCAGGGTTGGCTTTAGTGGGAAGCTGAGTTCAGGTTGAATCTAGGCTTTTCAATGTGGGATGCAGTGTCTTTTTTTTTTTTTTCAGGTTAAATCAGATTTACAGAGAGGAGAGACAGAAAAATCTTCCATCTGCTAGTTCACTCCCCAAGTAGCCTGAATGGCCAAAGCTGAGCCGATCTGAAGCCAGGAGCTTCTTCTGGGTCTCCCACGCCAGTGCAGGCTGCCAAGGCTTTGGGCTGTCCTCGACTGCTTTTCCAGGCCACAAGCAGGGAGCTAGAAGGGAAATGGAGCCGCTGGGATATGCACCAGCGCCCATATAGGATCCTGGCACATGCAAAATGAGGATTAAAAAAAGACTCATTTATTTATATGAAAAGCAGAGTGGCAGAGAGAGTGAGTTATCTTCTATTCACTGGTTTATTCTCGCAAGTATTGACGACCACTCAGGCTGGACCAGGTGAGCCAGGAACTTGTATCAGGCCTCCTGTATGAATGTTAGGGGATCTGTAACTGAGCCATTGCCTACTGCCTCCCTGGATGCTCATTGGCAAGAAGCGAGATCATGAGCTCAGGCACTGGGAATCGGGAACGATGTGCGCCTGCAGTATGGGATGTGCCTTCCCTCAGAGATGCTATTACTACTATTCCCATTTTCCATGGGAGAGAATGGAAACACAGAGGAGTGCTTTCTGCGGGGTCACTTGCAAGTCAATCCTTGAGTAAGCTGGGATAGATGCAGTCAGAGAAGCCCTGGAGTACATGCTTTTCAGGAGTAGCCTTGGGGCTGGCACTGTGGCACAGCAAGTAACTCTGCCGCCTGCAGCACTGGCATCTGAGTCTCAACTGCCAAACTGCTAAGCAGCCTGGGAAAGCAGCAGAGGACGACCTCGGTGCTTGGGCCCCTGCACCCGTGTGGGAGTCCCGGAAGAAGCCCCTGGCAATAGCTGTTCCTTTGGGGAAGGAAAATGTTGAGGGCTAGGGTCCTTAGTGGGGCCGAGCCCTGGTCGTTGCAGCCATTTGGAGAATGAACTAGAGGATGGAAGATGCCTTTGTGTCTCTCCACCTCCCTCTCTTTAACTCTGCCTTTCAAATGAATAAATAAATCTTTAAATAAAAAAATAAGGGAATAGCCTGTATTGTCTAAGAATTAAATAATAGTGAACAACTATTATTTATTACAGGGCAGGTACTGTCCTAAGGTCACTGATGTATTAGCTCTTTTAATTTTGACAGCATCCTTAAGGGACGGGTGATTGAAGCGCTGGCTGAAATGTGACAACTAGAAAGGGATTTGATCTCTGTCAACCCAGCCCTAGAACCTATGCTCTTAACCTCTGCATGATGTTACAGGATCTAATTTTGTGCAGAATGGACTCTGCAGCTTCGTGATGCTGTCAGATTTCAAGGACACATTTGCATTGCCATTTGCAGACAGATGACATCCCCACAGAATACTAACATCTCAACACTTTCTCCATTATACTGTGCAATGGATGGCAATTGCAGTACTGCTGGTAGGTGCTGAAGACCTGCCTGAGTGCGTTTGTGATCCTCTTGGTCCCTCCTGTTCAAAGTGCTGGCAAGGGGGCTGCAATTTTGTGTCAGGAATTCTGGAGAGAGATTTGGGCTGTTGCTATAAATTTGTGTATTATGTGTGTGTAACTGCTATGCAAGGAAATAAATAGGGTATCTTTGAGAAATGAAGACAATGACTGAAACAACTGGTAGTGTCCCCCATTTGTAGCATTGATAGTGGAATCAGCAGCTTGTTATCTTTGAAGACAGACATGGTCATGACTGCCTTGGGCCAGCCTGTATCGGTGGCTTCCCCTGAGCTTTTCTTTGAGTTGCAACCTCCGCGCAGATAGCAGGATCTGGATTTGTTTTTGGTGATAGTTTCGTTCTCACCCCTTCTGTTTGTTCCTTCTTTGCAGATACTACTTGGATGCTACATTTTTCATCCGGAAGAGGTGCACATTAGATTGCCCTTTGAGATCTCAAAGAGGCAACTGCTAATCTAACATGATGCTTGCACATAGTAGGTGGTTCTTACTTGTAGATTGCTAGTTTAAATGAAATGGAAATGCAGATGCCATCTGGTTGAGGTTCTTGCGAGAAACAAATATTCCAGTTGGCTGGGATATCACGTGATTGAAACCAGAGTAAAAGGGTTCACTTTGTGCAAGAACAGTCTTCATGCGTAGATGCATAGGAGCAGGTTACCATCAACCACACCTGGAAGCTGCCTGCTGGCTGCTGGGAGGTGATTTTGTGGCCATCGGGTTGAAGAGCAAGCAGGGTGAGGCATACTTTGACCATCCCCTGCAGCTGATGTAAGCAGAGCTAAGAGACTGAGAGGCCTTTTTGTCAGTGAGCATATAAAGATGAGGTTAAGGTTGGCTTTGTGGTTGTTTCCTGTAGAGAATGTGTATACACCATATCTATTTGATGGGCCTAACTGTTCGGGCTGATAGATTTATGGGAGCATTTGATCAAGAAGGTAGAAGATTGAGGCTCTTTCCTTACGTTTTCTGAGCCCACTAAGCCACCCTTGCTTAGGTGATGGAATTATGTATCTTGATGTAAAGCACCATTGATGTAAAGCACCATTTTCTGGGATTTTGTTTTTTCTTTCCCTAGCTTGAGGCAGGTGATTTTGCATCATGTCTCATTTGTGTCTCCTGAATTAGGACAAAGGGTTATTTGATTACTCATCTCTTCATTTATCCTGTAACTTTGGGGGAAAAAAAAAAGAAAAAGGGGATTGTGATGGTTTTCTTTGCCTTCTCATTGGCACATTGCAGGTGCTTCTGATGAATGACTTACTGGCCCCTAGTGCTGTTTTCCAAAAAGATAAAATGCATGGCTTAGGAAATGTGTGCTGTGGGCTTAACTCCTCTGGACCTGTTTAAAAATACTCTCTTCTCAGTCCTGCCCCTAGTTTCCTGAATCTGGGTCCTGTCTCAGGATAGGCTGGAGTGTTCAGGCTGCCTGAGTGGTTACTGCACCACTGGCCTGGCACAGCCTCAGGGGCACCAGTTGGCACTCCACAACTGCCCCCCAGCGTGGCTCACCCTGTGGCTGCTCAGATTTGTTGTGTGGGAGTCGAGTCAGAAGAGATGCACTCAGGCCTGGTGCGTTGGCCTAGAGGCTAAAGTCCTCGCGTTGAACGTGCCGGGATCCCATAAGGGTGCCGGTTCTAATCCCAGCAGCCCCACTTCCCATCCAGCTCCCTGCCTGTGGCCTGGGAAAGCAGTGGAGGACAGCCCAAAGCCTCGGGACCCTGCACCCGTGTGGGAGACCCGGAAGATCTCCTGGCTCCTGGTTGGGATCAGCGCAGAACCAGCCATTGTGGTCACTTGGGGAGTGAATCATCAGATGGAAGATCTTCCTCTATCTCTCCTCCTCTCTGTATATCTGACTGTGCAATAAAAAAATAAAATAAATCTTTAAAAAAAAGAGAGAGAGATGCGCTCAAGATACCTTCCTATGCTAAAGTTTTACCATTTCTAAAATCTTAGATACTTTGAAGTTTAATTTTTTAACAATTCAAATAACTTACCATAATATTTATTTTAAAAACACTTTATCTAATTTTAAGCTTTTGTTTATTTTAAATTTATTTGTAAATGTCTTCTCAGGTGTATTTGCCCAGGAATATTGATTTATCCCTGAGACTTGCAGCCAGTGTTTGACCGCAGGCATTGATCTGTGTGGGTCCTTCAGAAGGTCCCTCGTCCATGTATGGGGAAGGCAGCCTAGTAGTACTCAAGCAGATTTTTTTTGCAACACACTTTTTTTTTTTCTAATTATGATGTTATAATGTGTTTATACTATAAGATAACTGAAGTAGAAAAATTACACACAAAGAAAATAAACTCCCATTCTTGGCAGGACTCCTGATATTTTGTGATAACTTGTCTTTTTATCTTCACATATGGGAGTATTTATAATAAAATTGGAATTATAAAATATATTTAGTCTAACCATCTGATCTGTTCGGTTAAAAATTATGTTATTGTGGGGGAGCGTTTGACATAGCAGTTAAGAGGCTTGGAACACCCTCATCCCATGTCTGACTGTCTGGGTTTGAGGTCCGTTCTTCCAGGTTTTTTTCCTGCCAATCTGCACTCTGGGAGGCAGTAGATGGGGCCCTCCACTGTCCTTGGAGACCCAGCTAGAATTTTAGGCTTCTGGCTTCAGCCCAGCCCAGCTGTTGGAGGCATCTAGGGAGTGAACCAACAGATGGAAGATTTCTGTGTCCATCTTTCTGCTTTTCAAATAAATGAAAAATACATTTCTGAGACTGACAGTGTGGCAAGGTATGTTAAGCCATGACTATGATACTGGCGTCCTGTATGGGCTGTGGTTTGAGTACCAGTTGCTCTTCTTCCAGTCCAGCTTCTTGTTAATTGTGCCTGGAAAAGGAGCAGAGAAGGGCCCAGCCTGCCACCCACAGGGTTGGCGGGGAGGCGGACATGGATGGAGCTGTTGGGATCATCCTGGTCCAGCCCTGGCTGTTGAAGCCATTTTGGGGGAAGAGCTCGCTTTTTTTTTATTTTAAAGATTTATTTTTATTATTTTTTATTGGAAAGGCAGATATACAGAGAGGAAGATCTTCCGTCCAAGTGAGCTGCAACGGCCAATAGTATGCTGATCCGAAGCCAGGAGCCTCTTCCGGGTCTCCCACGCGGGTGCAGGGTCCCAAAGCTTTGGGCCGTCCTCGACTGCTTTCCCAGGCCACAGGCAGGGAGCTGGAAGGGAAGCGGGGCTGCTGGGATTAGAACCGGTGCCCATGTGGGATCCCGGGCATGAAAGGCGAGGACTTAACCAGTTGCGCCACCGCGCCGGGCCCAAGAGCTCACTTTTGTTTGTTTCTCTCTCTCTCGCTACCGCTCCCCTTCTCTCTCTGTAGTAACTCTGCTTTTCAAATAAATAAATCTTATAAATCTTTAAAAGTAAATAAGTAAGAGCCAGCATGGTGGTGGTGAAGTAGGCTACTCATTCACCTGTAGAGCCAGCATTCCATATGTGTGCCAGTTTGAGTCCTGGCTGCTCCACTTCCAAACCAGCTCCCTGCTAACAGCCTAGAAAGGCAGCAGAAGATGACCCAAATCACTGGGGCCCACATGGAAGTCCTGGAAGAAGCTCCTGACTTCCAGCTTTGGACTGGGCCAGCCCTGACCATTATAACCATTTGGGAAGTGAACCAGTAGATGGAAGATCTTTCCCTGTCTTCCTCTCTTCTGTAACTTGTAAGTAAAATAAGTCTTTATGAAGAAAAAAAAATAATTGTTTAAAGATTTTTGTTTATTTTTATTTGAGAGCAGAGTTGAGAGAGGTTTTTCATCTCTGGTTCACTCCCCAAATGGATGCAATAGCCAGAGCTGAGCTGATTCAAAGCCAGGAGCTTCTTTCATGTGTCCCACATTGGGTGCAGCCGCAAAAGAACTTGAGCCATCCTCTGATCCCTTTCCAGGCCTCAGGCAAAGAGCTGGATCAGAAGTGGAGCAGCCAGGAACCAATAGCGCTCTTATGGGTTGCCCATGCTGTAAGGCAGAGGATTAGCACACTGCGCTGGCCCCTGCTGTGTCTGTTAATAGGTCTGTCATGTGGATCACGAGAGAATTTGTGTAAGGCTTTTGGAAACTTGTAGTTACTGTGATTAGTGGCTTGAAAAAGTCTCATAAGTAGTTTTATTAATCCTCCTCTCCTTGGGCTTCCTGATTTGTATGGTTGATGCCATCAGCATCTGTCTGTGTGATGGATTTCTTGGCCCAGCGATCAGTTCCCTGAAAGCTGTCCTTGGCCATATAGGATTCTCACTGAGAAGCCCAAGCATCATCTGGCCAGTCATTCTGTTGTGGGGAGAGGCAGCGGTAAAGGCTATCTGTCTTACACCTGCAGTGACAAACTTGATTTTCTGTCTACCTTGCAGAGGAGGTGGCCAAGTTGGAGAAGCACTTAAGGCTTCTCCGAGAAGAGTATGTTAAGCTGCAGAAGAAACTGGCGGAGACCGAGAAGAAATGCACTCTTCTGGCTGCACAGGCAAATAAGGAAAGCACCAGTGAGTCCTTCATCAGCCGCCTGCTGACGATCGTGGCCAACCTGTATGAACAGGAGCAATACAGGTGAGCACCCAGACAGAGGGCCACTTCAGGGGAGGGGAGCCAGCTGTCAAGCTCTATTCCTGGGCCATATTATAGCTCTTTGCTCATTAATCTTCTTGCTGGATTAACATATTAACATATTAGCTAGTCTTCATTCCCAAGAATGTAAGCTCCTGGAGGCAAGATTTTTTTTTTAATTGTAACATCAGATATACAGAGAGGAGGAAAGATAGAGAAGAAGATCTTTGGTCCGTTGATTCACTCCCCAAGCGGTCACAGTGACCGGATCTGAGCCGATCCAGAGCCAGGAGTCAGGAGGTTTTTCTGGGTCTCCTGCATGAGTGCAGGGTCCCAAGCTTTGGGCCATCCTTGATTGCTTTCCCAGGCCACAGGCAGGGAGCTGGATGGGAAGAGGGGTTGCTGGAATTAGAACCGACACCCATATGAAATCCTGGTATGCGCCAGGCAAAGACTTTAGCAGCTATGCTACTGCGCTGGGCCAAAGATTATTTTCCTAAAGATTTATTCTCAAGTTTGACCTTGGGGCTTGGGTGGTGAGAGCCACTAGGCTGCTGGAAATACCTGAGCCAGGTCAGACTCAATGCTTGGGGCCCTAGCCGCAGCCACTGCTGCCGCATGGTGAGTGAGTCCTTGGTTTTTGGGTGGCCAGCATACCAGTTGGCGCTAGGTTGCACCCGCTGGCCATCTGGCAGTGAGCTCTAGGGTCTTAGGTGTGTAAAATTGCTGCTTAGGGACATCCATGGATAAGGCCACTGTGCTTGTAGATGAGGAATAGAGCAGTCTGCTGTACGTACTGGCAGACATGGGAACCAGTGCAGGGGACAGGACTCGTGGGGGTTATTATGGACCATTCTGACTAGGCTGTAGCTCTCACTGGTTTGCATGATGGCCAAGTATGTGGTGGGCAGGATCAGGTTGGTCAGCAACACTCATTGATTTGTATAGAAAACAGGGCTGGAAGCAGAACTGACCCAGCAATTGCAACCACCAGCATATGCATAAGCTTCTTGGGGCGATGGACTGTGCTGGACCCTGTACTGGCAAGCACACACAAGACTCAAGTCTGGGATCACCTCGGACGAAATTTCTTTGCGGATCACCCCAACTAAACTGCTGCACTCAGAACCCCAACCATGAAGAGAAGTGCAGGTTCCATGGTCTGACCATGGAGTGCATGTGTCAAAGCTGAGCCACCTCAGAGGCTCAGATGGAGCAGTGACAACATATCCAGGTGCACATGGAGCATGTGGCAGTCTATTGGAACCTGCAGAGGACACCTGGAACCACAACAGAGGATGAGGACAGAACAAATCAGTCAACTATACCAGCCACGTGTCAGCAGTGAAAGTCTGGACAAACAGGGACTTTAGGGTGGACTGTGTCAATCAGTGAATTCTGGAGCGATTTCATCATGCTTGGAGTGGCAAGATTGGCAGCAATTCAGAACTGTTGATCAGAATCACTTGAGTAGTGCCCTCAGAGCATGTCCCCAACACTGGGGACATTGAGTAGGTTGGGAGGTTGGATGGGACTTCTTCCTTTTTCTCCTCCCTTCCCCCAGATACAGGAAAAAAGAGAATGTGGAAACAATAGTGTTACCCACTTTCCTGTATCCCTTGACCTTTTGCGCCTCAATCAATTTTGTAAAAAATCAAAGTAAAATGATAATTTAAAAAAAAAGATTTATTTTCTTTTTATTGGAAAGTCAGAATGCAGAGAGGAGGAGAGACAGAAAGGATGATCTTCTGTCTGTTGATTCACTCCCCAAGTGGCCACAGTAGCCAGAGCTGTGCCGTTCCGACTCTAGGAGATTCTTCGAGGTCTCCCACGTGGGTGCAGAGTCCCAAGGATCTGGGCCATCCTTGACTTCTTTCCCAGGCCACAGGGAGGGAGCTGGATGGTAAGTGGGGCCACCAGGATTAGAACCAGTGCCCATATGATATCCTGGTGTGTGCAAGGTGAGGACTTTAGCTGCTAGGCTAATGTGCCAGGCATGAGTCAAAATTTTAGTCTCTCAGTTATTGCTCAACTTGGTAGAGTGGTAGTCATGGTGATAACATTGCTAGTGCAGACCAAAGTTAGCTTACATAGTTAGGAATTGCAAGGGGCAAGATATCTTTCTCTTGGGTGGGATAGTCGCTGGAGTCTGATAACTGGTGGGCATTAGGTATTGCATGATGGCTGACTTGGGCCTCCAGGGCTACAAAATTATGATAGAAGCTCAGCTGTCTACTTCTGTCCATGTGACCTCAAGCTCCATGTCATGGCTCAGGTTCCTAATCTGTAAAATCAGCTTACTCCTTGCCCTATGGTGGTTGTGAGGAATGTATGAATAAACACATAGAACAGTTCACAGCATGTGGTAAATGCTTCATTATTCGTTTCTGTTGGTTTTGAGGGAGTTGTTAAAGGCTGAATGGGATTTAACAGGGAAACGTAGTGTTATTAAGCAGAGGGAGTGTGGGGTAAGCACAGTGTTGCAACAGGCTGCTCTTCCACCCTGCATGGCTGGCATTCCCAGCTCTCTGCTTATGGCCTGAGAAAGCAGTAGAGGATGGCGCAAGTCCTTGGAAAACCACACCCACAAGTGAGACCCGGAGGATGCTCCTGGCCTTCAAATTTGGATATGCCCAGCTCTGGCCATCGTGGCCACTTTGGGGAGTAAACTAGCAGATGGTTGATCTCTCTGTCTCTGTAAATCTGTGTTTCAAATAAAATTAATTTTTTAAGAGAAAGTGACATTTTATTTATTTAGTTTTTAAAGATTTTTTTGGGCTCGGCATGGTAGCCTAGTGGCTAAAGTCTTTGTGTTACATGCTCTTTGATTCCATATGGGCACTGGTTCATATCCTAGCTGTTCCATTTCCCATCCAACTCCCTGCTTGTGGCCTGGGAAAGCAGTCGAGGACAGCCCAAAGCCTTGGGATCCTGCACTCATGTGAGAGACCTGGAAGAAGCTTCTGGCTCCTGGCTCTGGATCAGCTCAGCTTTGGTCATTCAGGTTACTTAGGGAGTGAACTAGAGGATGGAAGATCTTTCTCTGTCTCTCCTTCTCGCTGTAAATTTGATTTTCAAATAAAAAGAAAAAGAATTTATTTTTTAACTCATGGATCTATTTATTGGAAAATCAGATACACAGAGAGGAGAGACAAAGATCTCTGATGGTTCACTCCCCAATTGGCTGCAACGGCTGGAGCTGAGCCAGTCCAAAGCCAGAAGCCAGGATCCAGGAGCTTCTTCTGGGTCTCCCACACAGGTGTAGGGTTCCAAGTTTTTGGGCCATTTTCGACTGCTTTCCCAGATCACAAGCAGGGAGTTGGATGGGAAGCAGAACTACCAGGATTAGAACTTGCACCCATGTGGGATCCTGGCATGTTCAAGGCAAAGACTTTAGCTGCTAGGCTACTGTACTGGGCCACCCTATAAGTAGTTTTAAGTGAAAATATAAAAATACAAAAAAAAATTCAAGTTCAAATAGGATGATGATAATTGATGACTGCATTGCTGTCAGCATAGTCATTTGGCTCTTGTGTCTGCCCAGTGTGTTGTCTAGCTGTTCACTTGTTAGCTAGCCAGATACCTTCTACCCTTAACATTTGATATTTCATAGTTGAACACAAGTATCTGTTTGGAAAGTTCTTTTCATATAATGATCCATTACAAATGCGGAAACATGTTTTGAAAAAAATTTGTCTCTCCATACAATTTCCCTGAATATAGTTGAGTAAAAAATGACCAGTGTAAAGTCTGAGTATTTCTGGTGAGAACACTAGTGCGGGTGTTAGGTTTCAGGTTATTGACTGCTTTGTTGTAGCTTGTTGTTCCTAGTTTCTTCTGTTTAAACTTGTCTTGGCCACGAGCCTGGAGCATAACAGCGTTGTACGCTCGGCGCTGTCATCAGTCTTGAAGCTTTCCATTTTTCTCTCCCTGGTTGCTTATCTTAGTTTATTCTGCATAAATCACATTTTTTTTTTAAAGATTTTTATTGGGAAGTCAGATATACAGAAAGAAGAGACAGAGAGGAAGATCTTCTGTTCGATGACTCACTCCAAGCGGCCACAATGGCTGGGGCTGGGCCAGTCTGAAGCAAGGAGCCACTTTTGGGTTTCTCGCACAGGTGCAGGGTTCCCAGGCTTTGGGCCATCCTAGATTGTTTTCCCAGGCCTCAAACAGGGAGCTGGATGGGAATCAAGGCCACTGGGAGTAGAACCAGCGCCAGATGGGATCCCGGTATATTCAAGGCGAGAACTTTAGCCACTTAGCTACTATGCTGCCCCAAAAACACATCTTCTGCTTCATACATGAATTTTAGCAGTCCCACTTAGTTTGTGAATTTACAAATTCCATTTGGGGATTTATTTGAAAGCAGAGCATCTCAGGTGGATTAAAGCTAGACATAATAAATAGAAAACATTTCTTGCAACATGCTATGAACACACCCCATCAGACTTCATTGCTGGTGTATAGAAAGGGTTCAGTTATAATTTATTTTCTTGTGCAGACACATGTTGGATCAATACTATATATTTATCAGCTATGGATTCTAGCTGTACATTTTTCTTTTCATGTTTGTGGATGTTTTCTTCATCAGTGACCTAAAGATCAAGGTTGGGGACAGACACATCAGTGCCCACAAGTTTGTCCTGGCAGCCCGCAGTGACAGCTGGAGTCTGACCAACTTGTCTTCCACTGAGGAGCTGGACCTGTCAGGTAAACCTCTGATTGACACACCAGGGACACAGATGGCCAGCAGAAAGTTATTGTATGCTTGTACAGTATCTGGGGTGTAATGACAGGGAATTATGTTTCTTTTCAGCTCATTTGGAGATTATGAGATATTTAACAATGAATGACTAAGTAGCTAAGCAGATTATAGGTGGCGTGTGTGCGCCTGCTTAGTACCTACCTTTCCAAATCGTAGGTCTATCAGTATCAGATGGTCTTACAAAGTATCTTCCCAAAGCTCATTTCAGTAGTAGATTATAAATAAGGATATGCAGAAAAAAATCCCTTTAAGAAGTTCTGTCAACTACGTACTAACTAATAATACTGTCAGAATACTTTTCCTGACCTGTGCGTCCTGAACTCAGAATTCACAGTTACTCTGAAGAATTAATAGTATGTTTTTTTTAACATTACAAATTACTGTCCGCGTTAAGAATTTGAATGGGTGTGTGTGTATCTGTGTGAGAAGGTGGATAGGTTGATTTGTCTCACTGCCATTGCCAATTTATGTATGTCATGTTTTGTTACACGAATATGTCCTTAATGCACATAATCAAATTTTAAGATTTTTACTACCGTTTACATTGGGTTATTTAATATTTGTATTTATTCAAGATTTTGTATTTATTTTATTGAAAAGACAGATTTACAGGAAGAAGGAAAGAGAGAAAGGTCTTCTATTTACTGGTTCACTCCAAAATGGCTATAATGGCCGGAGCTAATCTGAACTGAAACCAGGAACCAGGAGCTTTTTCTGGTTCTCTCACATAGGGTTTGTGCAGGGTCCTAACATTTTAAGCATCCTCTACTGTTTTCCCAGGGCATATGTAAAGAGCCGGATGGCAATTGGAGCAGCTGGGATTTGAACCATTGTCCATATGTGATGTTGGCAGTGCAAGATTCAGAGTTAGCCAGTTGAGTCATTGTGCTGGTTTTTTATTTATCTCATGCTACATGATATTATATACATTTGGGGTAAATATGGTGGTAGATGAACTCAAAAATACCGCTTTTGTGGTAGACTTTTGGCCCAGTGCTTAAGACCCTATTTAGGACATCCGCATCTCATATCATAGTTCTTGGATTCAAGTCCTGCTTCTGTTCCTGATACCAGCTTCCTTGGAAGCAACAGGTGATAGCTGGGATTATTGGGTTCTTGGTGTCCTCATGGGATAGCTAGGTTAAATTCCTGGTTCCTGCCTTTGGCCTGGCCCTACCTTAACCGTTGCAGGCATTTGAGAAATGAATCGGGATAGGAGCTGTCTGTATCTATATGTGTGTCCCTATCACTCTCCTTCTCAAAAATAGGTAACTAATGTTTAAAAATAAAACCTCATCAAAATTAATTTTAAAGTTGCTTGTTGTCTGGTACTGTGGTACAGGCAGGTTAAGCTGCTACTTGCAACACTAATATCCCGTATCGGAGTGCTAATTTGAGTCCCAGTTGCTCCATTCAATCCAGCTTCCTGCTAATATGCTTTGGAAAGATATTCTAAGATGGCCTTAAGTACTTGGACTTCTCCCATCCACGTGGAAGGCTTGGATCAAATTCCTGGCACCTGGCTTCAGCCTGGCCGAGATCTGGCTGTTTCAGCCATTTGGAGAGTAAACTAGTCAATGCAGTCAAATAATGCCTTTCTCTGTTGCTTCTCACTGTTCTTATGTGTTGCTCTGCGTTTCTAATAAAATAACTTTTCTAAAATTCACTCTAAAAAATTAAATTTTCTCCTAGTGCTTAACTGCTGTTAGAAAAAAAGCAAAATGCAAAGTTTTAGTGCTACTGTTACTCATCCGAAGATTTATGGTAGTTATTGAGAAGAAATTCAGATATGATAAGATTTGAGGTATTTGGGGGGTGGAATATGGGTGGGGGGGAATCCCAGACTATACAGAATTGTATGATAAATTTCAAGAATTAAAGAAAATACATATAATAATTTAAAAAAAAATGAAGTATTTGCAGAGGAGTTGACCACGTGAGGAATCTGCTGAATTGCATCTTTGCTCACATGTTCATAGGGGACTGTTTTCTGGGTCTCGTGTGGAGAACACAGATGGTCATGGCATGGTCCTTATTGTACAGAGCACCTGTTCTGTTGAAGGAAGCAGGTTATTGGTGAATCATTTCAGACTGGGGATTTAAGTATAGGAACATGACTGCATATTAAGTACTAGAAGAGCTGATTGAGTTGATAATGAAGGCGGCAGCATGGTTGACCGCTAAGCCATATGGTACAGAAGTTGGCAGTTAGTGCATGAACCAAGAGGACAGATGTCTGAGGCTTCTCCACTGAGAGTAAACATTTCTGGATAATAATTTCTGAGGTTAATTTGAGGTCTAATTATATGGACTCCAGTCCATATGCTTGGCTTCTCAGAGCATGGCATTTGTTTTTGTAAAGTGCAATTTTTTTAAAAAGATTTATTTTTATTGCAAAGTCAGATATACAGAGAGGAGGAGAGACAGAAAGGAAGATCTTCTGTCCGATGACTCACTCCCCAAGTGGCCGTAATGGCTGGAGCTGAGCCAATCTGAAGCCAGGAGCCTCTTGTGGGTCTCCCACATAGTGGGTGTAGAGTCCCAGGGGTTTCAGCAGTCCCTGACTGCTTTCCCAGGCCACAAACAGGGCTGCCCATATGGGATCCTGGTGTGTTCAAGGCAAGGACTTTAGCCGCTAGGCTACTGCGCCGTGCCCTAAAGTACAATTTTGTGAAACTGTGTTTCTCTGCCCTTGTTTAAAACAAAGTTATGCATTACTGTTAAAGCCTGTTAGGTCATGAGGTATTCGCAAAATTTAGGATAGTCTCCTGGTGATAGCAACAGGTTATTTTCCAAGACTGGGAGATAATAAAAATATAGAATGCATTCAGCCTTGTTTTTAAAGGGTTACAAGTTAGCAGACATTTTTTGTTGTCAATATTATTGGAAGGGGTTGATGGGGCTGGGGGGCTCCAGGGGCCAGTGCTCTGTCACGGGGCCAGTGGCATTGTGAATAGCGGGTGGTTACACATTGATCTGGAAGTAGACTTAACTTTTGTGCTTTATTATCTTTTTTCTGGGATATTGGCATAGGTAATTCAGACAGACTTGGTATTCATCGTAGTTTTGTTTTTTGTTTTGTTTTGTTTTTGGCAATTACAGATTACTAACTGACATGAAAATGAATTAGATATGGGAAAAATGAGTGTCTCCCATAGCAGACAAAAAAAAATGATTAAGGCATAAAAGGCCTAATTTGAACATTGAGTTAGAGTTTTTGTTTTGTATTGGCCCAGTTTTAGTTCGTCCGTAACAGGAATAGCTTTAACTCAGTGCTTTCTGGTCACCGGATCACTTCCCTTTAAAAAGGCTTTTTCTTTTTTTAAAATTTAGGAAAAAATGTGAGTGCCTTTAAATATTGCTGTACTCTCATGAGCATCTTTTTTTTTTTTTAAGATTATTTATTTTAAAGGCAGAGTTCAGAGAGAGGGAAAGACAGAGAGAAAAAGACCTTCCATCTGCTGGTTCCCTCTCCAAAAGGCTGCAACAGCCAGGGCCGAGCCAGGCCAAATTTGGGAACCTAGAACTTCACCAGGGTTCTGGTGGGTGCAGAGGTCCAAGCACTGGTGCCATATCTTGTTGCTTTCCCATGCCATTAGCAGGGAGCTGGATCAGAAGTTAAGCAGATGGCATAAGAACCCAGGCCTGTGTAAGATGCCCAGGCATCATAAGTGGTGACTTTAACCCACCGTGCCACAGTGTCCATCCGTAAAAGCCTCTTCTGATCCTGCAGTAAGGATAAGGTTTACTTTTAGGAATGATCCACTTTAAAGCAGTGGCTTTGGGATTATGCTAGATCGGGCACCAACTTAGGTCATTGATAGTAGAGCCTAGGACATCTTTTGTTGCTGTCAGGTAAAATTTATCTTTGAAATGTGTCACAAGAGAGAGGTCTAAGATGTGGTAGCATCTACGTGTATTTGCCCAGCATGTGTATATATTTTGCCCAGCAGTCCTACTTACTGCCACAGTGTGGCTGTCAATGCCTGAATCTGGGTGGCAGCAGTGGAAATTTCCTGGGAATTCTCTGTGTAATATGCAGAAGCACTGACACCTCACACACACAGGCCAGCAACTAGCAGGACACTGGAAATAGGCTCTGGTAAACAAGAGTATAAATAGCGTACAAGCTGTTTCAGAGGTCGAACTCTTTGCACATTAGCGCATTTGGTAAAATCATTTTGTGAATTTGCCGGTGATCTGTTTCTTTAGAATTGTTCCATTCATGTAGCCCAGGTTGAATGTCAGGCTTTGTTCAAGATGCCAGGGGTGCAGCATAGAACAACGTTACACTCTCACGTGCACAGAACTTACACCTTGATAAGACTGACTCCAGACCTCATGATCTTTTTGTGGAGTTCTTATGTGTTGATATTTTTTAAAATTCACGTCAAACAGTTTTGTTGTTGACAAGGATTTTAGCATTTGTTCATGCAACTTAACAGGTGTTATGTGCCTGGTATTTAAAAAGCATTTGTGTATTATGTTAACTTAATATTTTGTTCCAAAAGTAACTTTTGCACCTGATGTGATACCTTGACAAAGACATGGTCACTTGTGTTGGGCTCTTGCCCTACATGCATGGCTTCAGTCTGATCCCAGGAAGACATGAAACCAGATTGAGGAACATGCCACAAAACCCCCACCAGTAAGATTGTGACACTTAGACGTTACCAATTGGAGGAAACTAAAGTGTGGGACAACAGATTGCAGTATGGAATCCTCAGTTGGATTCTGGACCATAAAAAGGACATTATTGGTAAAACTGGCAAAAGAAGGTCTGTAACTAGCAGTTAATAGTATTGTATATATTAGTTAATTGCCCATTTTTCATAATTTTATAATTATGTAAGATTACTAATGTTAGGGGAAGATGAATAAAGACTATATGGCAGTGACCTGCAACTTTTTTCTAAACCTGAAAATGTAAAATATATATTTATTTGAAAGACAGACAGATGAATGTTGCACTGGTTTACTCTCCAGACACCTGCAACAGACAGGACTGGGCCAAAGCAAGGAGCCAGAACTCCATCCAGGTTTCCCACACAGTGACAGGCACCAAGAACTTGAACTATTACTTGATGCTTCCCAGGGTACTTTAGCAAGGAAGCTGAGGTTAGAAGCAGAGCTGAGACTCCAACCCAGGTCCCGTGGTATAGCATGTGAATATGCCTAACAGTCTCTCTCTCTTTTTTTTTTTTTAAGATTTATTTATTTTTATTGGAAAGGCAGATGTACAGCAAGAAGGAGAGACAGAGGAAGATCTTCTGTCTGATGATTCACTCCCCAAGTGGCCGCAATGGCCTGAGTTGGGCTTATCTGAAGCCAACAGCCAGGGCTTCTTCCAGGTCTCCCACGTGGGTGCAGGGTCCCAAGGCTTTGGGACATCCCCCACTGTTTTTCCAGGCCACAAGCAGGGAGCTGGATGGGAAAAGGGCGGCAGGAACACAAACCAGCACCCATATGGGATCACAGCATGTGCATTGTAAGGTGAGGACTTTAGCCACTAGGTTGCAGCACCGGCCCAGCCCACCAAACAGCCTCTTAACTGCTGAGCTAGATGCCTGCTCTTGAGGCTGAAATATTTCAAGCTATAAAGATTAAAAAAAATAAAAATTTGCTTTTCATTTTTTTCTTAAGTGTAAAGATATTCGGTTGATTTCAAGATTTTTTGGTACCAAAATATGCTGCATTTTCCATGAATTTTTGGAAGTACATCCTGAGTTGTAAGTATGTGAGTTAATGGAGGTGTTAATCTGATTAACATTCTTGTAATTCATGTAGATATGTGTATATACATATATACCAATACCACATTATACACTTAAGTATATAATCTTTGTCAGTATACCTTACTAAGAAGTAAAAAGCATGAGATTATGAGCATACTGACTCATCAACTGGGAAGAGAAAGGGTATGAATGTTAGCGTGACTCGGTCCCAAAGGTTGAGGCCAGGGATAGACCACAGTTTGCCTTGTAAGAAATGAGTCTTCTAGGGCCTGTCTAGCATCAGCAAGAGGCGGGCATCAAGTAATCCTGAGTCAGGGATCGAACTCGGCTCCCCTGACTTGGAACTTGGACATTCTGACCAGCATCTTAACTAGGAGGCTAAACCCCTGACTGAGTACATGTTTTTAATCTACTCTTGTTTCTTCATGTGCTATGTAACCTATCTGTTTATGCTGAATGTCGATGTATATGTTTTAAATTCTTGCATTTCTTTCACATTTGTTATATTTTAGTCCGTTTTCCATGTCAGATGGTTAAGAGTTTGGTTCTGCCTTTTTCTTGTGAAATACTTTACTAAGCCACAGGTACATGTGTGTATTTGCAATGTTGTTTTCTTCAGACAGTAATTTTCCATGTGTGATTTCTATGTGAAAAATTGTGTACTTATAAAAATCTTTGCTAATCTGAGAGACAAAAAGATATACTCTAGTTTAAATTTTTATTTGATTATTCATCAGGATTATTAACCAGCTTTATTCATCTTTGTCAGTTAACTGTATCTGTTGTCCATTTTCCATTGGTTACGTGTCTTATTTGTCCAAAATCTTTCAAAAACGTTTCCCAGTTTAACTGATTTCTTCGCTGGGTTCATTTCCTGTCCCCAGCGCTCATGGACAACTAACATTTTTCGGGCATCAGCTACCGCCCAGACTAATGTTTGAGTTGAGTGTACTGTAACTTACTAGCTTCAGATTTTAGAGGTCTTGAAAAAAAACACAAGTGTGTCATCCAGTGCCTTTTGGTTTTTCTGATTCCTTGCCAGATGCTAACCCAGAGGTGACCATGACAATGCTCCGCTGGATCTATACGGATGAGCTGGAGTTCCGAGAAGATGATGTGTTCCTTACTGAGCTCATGAAGCTGGCGAATCGCTTTCAGCTCCAGCTCCTTAGGGAGAGGCAAGTTACAGCAGATAGCCGCAAGCAGCTCAGACGGTGCTGGGCTCAGTATAATTATGCCCAGCTCTGGGAAAACAACCACTGTTACTACTGCAAATAATTTTTGCCAGGTGTTCTTTAAAAGATTCATGCATTCATTTATTTATCCCACTGAAAAGCATAATGACAAAATTACAGAGAGACAGATCTTCAGTCTGTTTGCTTATGTCTCAAATGGCCAGAATGGCTCGGGCTGGGCCAGTCTAAAGCCCAGGGCTAGAAGCTGCTTCGGGGTCTCTCAGTGTGTGTGCCATTCTAAGGACATCTGCTGTGTTCCGCTCCTGTCCCAGGAGCACTAGCAGGTAGATGGATTAGAAGTGGAGCAGCCAGGACTCAAGAGAGCACTCATATGGGGTGCCAGTGTCACAGGCAGTAGCTTGACGTGCTGGGCCACAATCCTTGTGCCTCCTCTCCCCCCAGTGTGTGTTTTTTCATGCTGGATTTTTCTGTTTTCTTATGTACATTTTCTAGATCAGCAGAATACAGGTGTTAAAATGCCATCGGACCCCCTTCCCCCTTTTAGGAAAGATTTATTTATTTGAAAGAACTGCAGAGAAGAGGCAGAGAGAGATCTTCCATTTGCTAGTTTATTCCTCAAGTGGCCGCATGTCCCAATAAGAGCTTCATCTGAGTCTGCTATGCAAGTAGCAGGGGCCCAAGCACTTGAGCCATCTTCCATTGCTTTCCCAGGTGCTTTAGCAAGGAATTGGGTCAGAAGTGGAGCTGCTTGGACTCAAACCTGTGCTTATACAGGACGCTGACATCACAGGCAGGAATTTAGCCTTTTACACTACATGCCAACCCCTAAAATGCCCTTGCATATCAGTTGGAGACAGGATTCTTCGTTGTTCAGCTTAACCAAGTTGTGTAAAGTGTCTTTTTATGTCTGTGGTGATATATTGTATTCTCAGGTACCTGAAGAAATGACTTTTCTTCTGGGCATGTGAAGGAATGATTTCAGCCATTAAGAGGTGCTTACCCCAGACCCGGCACGGTGGCCTAGCAGCTAAAGTGCTCGCCTTGAATGCACCGGGATCCTATATGGGCGCTGGTTCTAATCTTGGCAGCTCCACTTCCCATCCAGCTCCCTGCTTGTGGCCTGGGAAAGCAGTCGAGGATGGCCTAAAGCTTTAGGACCCTGTACCCGTGTGGGAGACCTGGAGGAAGTTCCTGGCTCCTGGCTCTAGATTGGCACAGCACTGGCCGTTGCAGTCACTTGGGGAGTGAGTCATCGGATGGAAGATCTTCCTCTCTCGCTGTCTTTCCTCCTCTCTACATATCTGACTTTCCAATAAAAATAAGTCTAAAAAAACCCAAGAAGGACCTACCTGTTCCTGTGTTTTCCTCTGGGAAACAGGGACTTTGGTACCTAGGGCCGCTCGCTCTGTTTTCACCATGTTTCCCCAGGGGTGGCATGCCATACCTCACAGCAATCAAGAGACGCATTATTCGCAACCATAATTGAGGTGAACCTAAGTATGTTTTCGTGTCTAAGTCCAATTAAAAAAAACTATAGATGTGTTTATATAGAACATACTAGATTATTAGTAAAAGAAACTTTATCATCAAGGCCTTACAGCTCTTATTTTAGTGTCTTTGAGCCATCTGAGTGGGAAATGAAAAATTTTTTTTTCATTAGGTTAAGTGTGGTGTAAGTTTTTTTTAAGTTCCTTACAAATTAAAGAGCTTTAATAAAAGTGCCCTGGGGTTGCAGTTGTTTAGATCATTTTAATCTGTGTAATGGATTCTTTAATTAAAATGTTGGTTGTGTAGTCTTTGTAACTATCAGGACTGCCAGCTGCTGAGTTAGTACTGTGGCTGCCTGTCCTGGCTCTCTGAAGAGCTGCCTTGGAAGGGACTCAGGCGTGGCCTCAGAGCGCCCACTGCCGTCCACAAGAGAGATGACATGTCTGAGCCAGGGAGTCACAGGTCCTGGACACACGCGAGAAATGGGTGCTACCCACTTTGAGAATGTAGGCATTTCGGCACTTTGGGAGGCTGGGGCTGCTTTGAAAGGAAGTTTTTTTGTTACCATGTTCAGTGTATCGTGTCTGGAAATATTGTTCACCTTTTGTTTATCCTTTCACCATCATTTTTTTATGTCTTTCTCATGTACATGAGATTGATATATGAAACTAGGCAGCAGTTGTGAGATGCCTAAATATATGCTTGAATTTGTTCTTTAAAAATCAAATTTTGGGGCCTGGCGCAGTGGCCTAGCAACTGAAGTTCTTGCCTGGAACGCGCTGGGATCCCATGTGGACGCCAGTTCTAATCCCGGCAGCTCCACTTCCCATCCAGCTCCTTGCTTGTGGCCTGGGAAAGCAGTCGGGGATGGCCCAAAGCCTTGGGACCCTGCACCCATGTGGGAGACCTGGAGGAAGTTCCTGGCTCCTGACTTTGGATTGACATAGCACTGGCCGCTTCGGTCACTTGGGGAGTGAATCTTTGGACAAAAGATCTTCCTCTCTGTCTCTCCTCCTCTTTGTATATCTGACTTTGCAATAAAAAATAAATAAATCTTTAAAAAAAAAAAGTGCAAAACCATTCCAGGTGAATTTAGCCTGGAGACCAAAATTTTAAAAAAATTAAATTTTTGTGTATCCTTATTCTTTTTGTATCTAAAATTAAAAGTATATAATACCAGCAGAAATTCCCTTACAGATGGAAGTTTTTCTTGCTTTTTTTCAAAGAGACTATATGAATGGAGACTACAAATGTTTAAATAAGGTTGTATGTTTTTCAGCTCTGTAGATCATGTCAGTTACTCTATAGGTTATACAAATGGCACCGGGCACTGGGCCAGTGCAGTGACTCAACAACATCTGTTTGCAACCACTGACATCCACTTTGGGCACTGGTTTGTATTCCAGTTGCTCCACTTCCCATCCAGCTCCCTACTTGTGGCCTGGAGAAGCAGTAGAGGATGACCCAAGTCCCTGGGACCCTGCACACATGGGATTCCTGGGTGAAGCTCCTGGCTCCTGGTTTTGGGTCAACTGAGCTCTAGCAATTGTGGTTATGTGGGAAATAGACCCTTTCTGTCTGTCTCTCCTCCTCTTTGAAAATCTGCCTTTCTAACAAAAATAAATAAATCTTTTTTAAAAATGGCCACTGGCACTATAGGGATCCCAGAATTAGTAAAAATGAAATATCTTGCCATTTCTCAGATGAAATAAGTATGGGTCTCATGGTGAAGTGTCATTTGGCAGCGAAAAGTATAGGAGGAATGGTATTTTCAATCTCACAGCACTTGTCTGTAAAACTAGTAAGGGGACAGTGCTGTGCAAACCGGAGACCCTGCTCCTGGAGGCCTTGCTGTGTCGTAGGATGTCAGGATGGGAAGACTGTGGGGATTGAGCATTGTAAAAGTGGTTTTGCGAAGAGAATTTTTCTCCCAACATTTTCCACTTTCTTAGCTGAAGTTGTAGTGCCTTATCCAAGATGGCTGTGGTACAGAAAGTTCAGTCAGGTGTGCAGTGCTGTTAGTCCTTCTCACAAGACGTCATTGGAACTGACTGGGCTGTTGTAACAACTCAGTTGCTAAAACGCCCTGGGAATGGTAATGCTTTCCATTTGTCAGTTATATTAGTTAAAAACAGTGACTCAACAGGCTAATCCTCTGCCTGGGACACTGGCATCCCGTATGAACACCAGTTCTAGTCCAGGCTGCTCTACTTCCCATCCAGCTCTGTGCTTATGACTTGGGAAAGTAGCAAGAGATGACCCAATTTCTTGGACCCTTGCACCCTCGTGGAAGATCCAGAGGAAGCTCCTGGGTCCTGGCTTCAGATGGATTCAGCTCTCTGTCTCTCCTTCTCCAGAAATCTGCTTTTCAAATAAAAATGAATTTTTTTAAAAAGCACCTTGGCCCCGGTCTAGGGTTAGTGCATGCCTGCAGAGCCACCTGGCGGACTCGGAGAGGATATTCTCCTGTCCCGAGGCTTTGTTTGTTCCTCGTGCTTCCCAAGTGCCTCACAGCCTCCTCGTTTCTTATGCTACTTCCCACTCTGTGGTCTCTCTCCACTTCAGCTATCAGCTAACCTTTTATTCTTCTTTATAGTAGTGCTGAAATCCCTTAGTAGTAGTTGTGATGTTACATGTTTTCACATCTTTTCAAAGAACTGCAGGCCTTAAAGGAGGGGAAGACCAGGAAAGGGAGCTCAATCCAGGAGTGTCTACATTAGGTACTTGGGACTGTGTTCAAGTGTGGCCAAGTTTTCATTCATCTAACAAAAGGCTTTGTGCACCAGTTTAGCTCGGTGCTTGTGATGTCAGCATTCCATGAGAATGCCAGTTCAAGTCCTGGCTGCTCCGGTTCCCATTCAGTTCCCTGTCAGTGCACCTGGGAGATGGCAGAGGATGGTTCAAATACTTGTGTCCCAGCCACATGTGTGGGAAACCTGAATGGAATTTCTGGCTCCTGACTTTGGCTTGGCCCAGACCCAGCTATTGTGGCCATTTGGGAAGTAAGCCAGCAGGTGGAAGATCTTTCCCTGTCTCTGTTACTCTGCCTTTCAAATAAGTATTGTTTTTAGAAAAAAGAAGCTGTTGTGATGGGCTGTGGGCTAGGAGAAGCAACTGTGGCAAGTCAGGAACTGTTCCTGAAGTCACATTACACCTGGTTGGCGCTCCTAGAAGTGAACCTGGTTTCTAGGGCCGTGTGGGGGGTTGGCTGTCTCCCAGGGGCCTGCTTTAGTGGCAGGCTGTCTGAGGACCCCAGGAGTCCTGAGAGGAGGAAGCCTGGGTCTGGCAGTGCTGCTGCTTGTAGGTGGGGATGTGGGGCTTGCCTTTTGCTACCAGAAACCTGTTTCCACGTGCAGCTTTTTCTTCCCTGTCATACATGGCTTCCTCTTATTGGGGATTTCAAAATAATCTTGTTATTACTCGACTCTGCCCATTGGCCATTTTTTTTTTGTCTTAGTTCAATTCTTATGTATATAGTAGATATTTTGAGTAGGTTTTTAAAATTTAGATTTATTGAATTACATACAGTAAAATCTATTATGTAAATTGATCTTTTGGGAAGACTACTGTGGAGACATTAATTTGTGAGGCATACAACCTCACTGGACCCTCTTGCTTGCATGTAGAGTGGTGCAGGCAGACTGCAGAGGACTAGAGTTGGCTCTGGTGTGTGAGATTTTTATACTCACCTTTGTATGTGACCAGTGAGTTTCCTGTGATTCCCCTGAAGGCAGTTGAGATATTATGCTTAGCATGATTATTTACAGATTGTTTTGAGTCTGACCAAAACTGAACAATATAATTGTGTAATAAATTATGGTACTTTTAGAATATGGGAGACCAGTCACAATTTACTCATAATGACCTCATCTAGTCTTAAGCCTTAGAGCCAGCTAGCATACGGATTGTTGCTGCAGTTTGCTCACTTGTAAATAGGTTTTCCCTGATAATACTGATCCTTCCTGATTTTCCCTTACAGGTGTGAGAAGGGAGTTATGTCCCTGGTGAACGTGAGGAATTGCATCTGCTTCTATCAGACTGCGGAAGAACTGAATGCCAGCACCCTGATGAACTATTGTGCAGAAATCATTGCCAGTCACTGGGTGAGTGAGTGTAGACAGAGGGGAGCCTGGACCTGGACCTGCTGCCTGGTGAGCAGCCTCTTTGGCATCTAGTGTCCTGGTTCTGCACTTGAAGGGTTAACACTTGGGCTTCGTGACCTCTGAAAGTTGTCTCAACACTGAGAGCCTGCTGCTCCTGTGCTTGCAGCATGGAGGGGCAGGAGGTAGTTCAGGTCTGGGTTTGGGTGGGGCTGGCAGGGCCTCATGTGGAGGCTATAGCCCCGAGCTCTCCCTTGCCTTCTAAATCAGGTAAAGGCCGTTATTAAATCTAATGTATCAAATTCCTTAGATAGTTTGAATTTTAATGAATTGTCTTTACATTTCTTTCATTTTTTTTTAAGATTTAAATTATTATTATTATTTTTTACTTGAAAGGCAGATTTACAAAGGATATTCAGAGAGAGAAAGATTTTATGTCTTCTGGTTCACTGCCCCAAAATGGCTGCAGTGGCCAGAGCTGAGCTGATCTGAAGCCAGCAGCTTCTTCAGGTCTCCCATGTGGGTTCAGGGTTCCAAGGCTTTGGGCTGTCCTCTATTGCTTTCCCAGCAGGAAGCTGGATGGGAAGCAGAACAGTTGGGACATGAACTGGCATCCATATGGGTTGCTGGCTTTAGCTGGTGGAGGGTTATTCTGTTGAGCCAGAGCACTGGCCTCCTTTGATTTCATTTGTTCTTGTGTTTTCTAAATGCTAAGGCTAGAGTTTTGTAAACTGGATTGTGTGAACTGGTACATTGTGAAGAGGCTCAGAATTTCAGATAAAAGTCTATGAGAACTGGATTTTAAGGAATCAAAAAGAGAACAGTAGTCCTTCTCGTACTTTACCTTTCTGCATAACTGCAACAGTCGAGGCGGTCTATACCTCAGTGCGGTGGATCGCTTTGCCTCTTCTCGGGTGTAGCTGTTTAGGTTGGGTTGGAGAAAGGAGTCTGCAAAAGCCTGCTGCCTTGAGCTTGCTTTTACTTGCACTTACAGCTTTGCTCATGCTGTGCCGTCTTCAAGTGCCGCAGTGTTACTGTGGGACAGACGCAGGCGCAGGTGGGAGACCTATAGGTTCCAGGTCACAATTTGGCTATTCATTCTGTTTGAACCTATGCCAAGTCATTTAACCACTTTCTCATTTGTTAATAGGAATAGTAAGATAACCTACCCGATAGGGTTTTTGTGAGAATGGAAGGATATGGAAAATATTAAATCATTTAGAAACCGACTCTTTTCTTCCTTGTTTATTTTATGTGTTTATGCCAAAGGCAAACTGTCAGTCAGAACAGCCTGGGCTTAGCCAGGCCACAACCAGCAGCTGGGTACACCATTCTGGTCTTCCATGTGGATGTCAAGTCCCAAACACTTGAACCATTTGCTATTTCCTTCTCAGGCACATTAGCAGAGAGCTGCATCAGAAGTGGAGCAGCAGGGACTCCAACTGGCTCTCATCAGATGACAGCATCGTTATCAGTGGCTTAACCTGTGTCATGGTGCCAACCCTAGAGTCTGACGCATTCTGAGGGTTGCATGATGACTAGTGTTGTTGTTAATATGTTCTATCTGTTTTAATCCTTAGGATGACTTAGGAAAGGAGGACTTCAGTAGTATGAGTGCCCAACTATTATACAAAATGATCAAATCCAAGACTGAGTACCCGTTACATAAAGCGATCAAGGTGGAGAGAGAAGATGTGGTCTTCCTTTATCTCATTGAAATGGATTCACAGGTATTGTAGCTGTTCCTTTGCCTTTGCCTTCTTTTTTTTTTTTTTTTTTCTCTCTTAAAGAATTTATTTTTATTGGAATATCACAGAGAAGGAGAAACAGAAAAAGGTCTTCTCTCTGCTGGTTCATTCCCCAAGTGGCTGCAACAGCCATAGCTGAGCTGAACTGAAGCCAAGAGACAGGAGCTTCTTCTGGGTCTCCCATGCAGGTGCAGGGTCCCAAGGACTTGAGCCATCCTGCAGCCAGGATATGAACCAGCACCCACATGGGATCTAGCCACTAGCCCGCCCATGCTTTTTCAGTTTTTCATTCCCTTCCCAAAGCTGTGCAGTGTGATGCTCCTTACTTCCTTATGAGCTCCCACTGCTACAGTCTAATGTGCATGCTTCTACTGCCAGTTCCGCAAGGCAATCTGTCCTTTTTTGTAAAATCAGTTCTCAGAATTTTTCCAGCCTCAATGCATTGCCCAATTCCAGAACCACTTCTAAATTTTAATTTTTAAGGTTTTATTATTTTAAAACATTTATTTGAAAAGCATTCTGACAAAGCAAGGGAGATAAGGCAATCGTTCAACTTGCTTTTCACTTCCTAAGTGTCCACAACAGCTGGGGCTGGGCCAGGTGGAAGTCCAGAGCCTCAAACACCATGTTGGTTTCCTCCATGGATAACAGAGGCCCAAGTACTTTGCCAGGTGTATTAGCAGGGAGCTGGATTGAAAGTAGAATACCAGGGACTTGAACCATACATACTTACATCTGTGTGGAGGTGCCAGTGCCTCAAACAGCAGTTTAGCATACTGCATCACAACATGAGCCCCTTCCCACTTTTAGGAAACTGTTCCAGTAAAACTTAACTTGCAGGTTCTAAAATCTCTTAGTTTTAATTTCCTGTTGCATAAGATTACCACAAACTTAGGGGCTTAAAAAACAAAACAAAAAACCAGAAACATATTATCTCAGTTTTGTAGGTATAAATTCAGTACAGGTGTCACTGGACTGAAATCAGGGAGTCGGCAGCTCTACCCTGCTAGTTGGGATTGTTGGCAGAATTTAGTTTCTTGCGGTAATGGAACCCAGATCCTCATCTCCCCTAGGCTGTCAGCTGAGGGCAGTTGCCAGCTTTAGATGCCACTACATTTCCTTGGCTTATGGCCCCCTGCCCTCCTCTTCAGAGCTGGCAGTGGCAGGTCAGCTCTCACGTCGTGTCTCCATTTCCTACTTTAAGCTTCCCTGGTTCAGTGGTTTGTTTGTTTTCCCTCATCTACATCTTTCTGCAGCTTTTAGGTTTCTTTCTCTTATAATGACAGAAACAGTTAGGATTGGGCCAGGTCAAAGCCAGGCGCCCAGAACTCCATCTGGGTCATCTGTGCGGGTAGGAGCCCAGGGACTTGAGCTGTCACTTGCTGCCACATGCCATGCTTTCAGTAGGATGTTGAACCAGAAGCCAAGGAGCAGAGACTTGAACCAGCGCTCTGGTATGAGATGTAAACAGCCAGCCCAGGCAGCGGCTCAGCTCACTGCACTGTGAGTTAACTCCTGTGAGTCTTCCCTTTGCAGATGGATTGATCCCTCCTGGGTAATCCAGGATCCTTTTCCCATCTCAGGGTCCTTGACCTTAATCACATCTGCAAAGTGCATTTTGCTCTGTAAGGTGACATCGGCATAGGTTTTGGGGGCTGCTATTCAGCCTGTCATACTGTCTTAAATTAAGGAAATGTGGTTGCTCTTGACAGATGGGATTGAAGTATGTTGGGTCCTAGATGTTCTGGATGTAGAGAGACATTCCGATGCCAGAAGGAGTTAGATGGTTAAGCGTCAGCATCTCACAAAAACATTGGCTGGTTGCCGTGAAGCTCTCTGACCCTCTGCCTTGGCAATGGTGTTTGACAGCAGTCTGTCTCCGTTTCTCCTGTGGTTCTTATGTTGTGTTTTGCGCTGCTTATGTCTATTTTGTTCTGTTCATTCAGTCTGTGTTCTGAGGAGGCTTAAAAAATTTATGAATGAAATTGAATTTGAGGAGTAATAAATGTCATCACACTGAAAACTTGACATGTAGGACGTATTGGCATTCAAGCATGGTCATGGTGGGAGAAATGAAAGTAGGTTGTCTTCTTCACTGGCTGGCTGCTGATGGAGAAACTTCTCTGCACAGCTCCCTGGGAAGCTGAATGAAGCGGATCACAATGGAGACCTGGCGTTAGATCTGGCCCTTTCACGGCGCCTGGAGAGTATTGCCACGACGCTGGTTAGCCATAAAGCGGATGTGGACATGGTAGACAAGAATGGCTGGAGCTTGTTACATAAAGGAATCCAAAGAGGTAGGAAGACATGGATTTTGTGCTGTTTTCTTTTCAAGTAATGGGATTTTTACCCAAGTGATTTTAGATACTCCCCGTGTCCCTGAAAGTTCGTGTATACTTTCTGTATCTGACTTTTTAGCCTACGGGATTTAGAATTTGAGATCACTTGGTCGAAAGAGGGATTGAAACGCTGTCGTCCATGCCTTGTTACATTGGCTCTTCACGGTGGCAGCAGGGACTCCAGAAGCATGGCATGGATTGGGCGCAATAGCCAAGCGTCTGAAGTCCTTGCTTTGCATGTGCCAGGATTCCATGTGGGTACTGGTTCTGGTCCCGACGACCCCACTTCAGGTCCAGCTCCCTGCTTGTGACCTGGGAAAGCAGTTCAGGATGGACTGGAGTTGGGGACCCTGTACCCGCATGGGGGACCTGGAGGAGGCTTCAGACTCCTGGTTTCAGATTAGCTCAGCTGTGGCCACTTGAGGGGGTGAGTCAGCGGATAAGGGTCTTCCTCTCTGTGTCTTTTGTTCTCTGTATATCTGACTTTCCAGTGAAAATAAATCTAAAAAGCCTGGCACATGGAGGAAAAGTTGTTTTTAGTTAATTATTATAATGCTTAATTTGAAAGGCAATGATAGAGAGCAGAGGAGAATCAGAGAAAGAGAGCTCTTTTTTTTTTTTTAAGATTTATTTTACTGTTTTTGCCATAAGCAGGGATCTAGATCAGAAGTGGGGTAATTGGCACTACAACCAGCACCCCTATGGGATGCGGATGCTAGTAGGCAGAGGATTAGCCTATTGTGCCAACACACTGGTCACCATTTTTGTTTTTGAAATGCAGAGTGAAAAAGAGATCTCACATCCAGTGATTCACTCCCCAAATGACGTAATAACAGGTAATGGCCAGGCCAAAATCTGGAGCTGGGAATTAAATCATGCATCTTGCAGCTGGGTAGCAGGGACCCAAACTACTTGAACCGTTACCCGCTGCCTGCCTGGGCGTGCATTAGCAGGAAGCTGACATCAGGAGCTGAGCCAGAACTAGAACTCAGGTTCTCCACACTGCTGTTCCATATGTGCGTCTGAACCCCTCATGGCCTTGTGTCAGATGCCTACCTCTCATTAAAAATATTTATATATGTTTATTTGAAAGGGAGAGACCGAAAGAAGGAGAGAACTTCCATCTGCTGATTCACTCCCAAAATGGTCACAACACCATAAGCTTGTCCAAGTTGAAGCTCAGAGCCCAAACCCCATACAGATCTCCTACCTGGGCGACAGGGGCTGAAGCACTTGAGCCGTGACCTGATACCTTCCCAGCACATTGTGTGGGAGCAGCCAGCCCTTGGACCAGCGCTCTAGCATGGGATGGTGGTGTTGCAAGTGATGGGTAGCTGGCTCTGCTACCCCCCCCGCCCACCTCGTTTTTGTCAATGAAATTTAGAGCTGTAGAGTTCCAGAGTGAAACGAAAGCCTCCATCACAAACTCCAAGACCTCATTTAGTAGAAGGAGAGTCGCTCTGACTGGAGTACTTGGCCTTGGCCGCTGTTTCGTTTCCATGTGGCCAGCACGATCCCATGCCCTATTTGAGCACATCTTCAGCCTGTGTTATTCTCCCTTTCTGATGATGCAGAGTTATCCTGCTGTGCATCTGCTGCACTGTTGGATTCACAGGTCGTCAGTGGAATGCAGTTGCTTCGAGAAGTGGCTCTGTTGTAGCTGTGGCTTTGCCCTTTATGGGCACAGGTTCTAATGCAGGCATCCTAGGCATGTGTTGAGAGGGTTGGGCTTGCTGGCTGCAGGAGAGGAAAATTTTGCTCATGATGGAGTCGGAAATCCTTAGCGTATACCACTGTTCAGAGCAGTACATGTGCCGCAGCTCTGCTCTGTGCTCTCCAGGCCCGTCCGCCGCCCGCTGGGCGGGCCGTGAGGGGGACGGTTTCGACTGCAAAGGGAATTGCTCTTTCCTACTCTGGTTATTGTCTGAGATGTTTATTTTGGAAACAGATATACTTGTTACTAAAAAAACAGTCTTGAGATTATGTTTCTTTCCTCTTGGAGTTAAATTCATATGGTTGATGCAAAAACATCTTTGATGCATTATTAAATATTTTGATGATTGCTTAGTTACAAGAATTGCCAAGAATTGATGGTACAATTTTTGTGCTGCCTTTAAGATGACATGATTTTCTGCTCTGTATGTATCAACTGCCTGCAGTCCTGTGGATTAATGTGTTGGCACAATGATTTGATGGTTGCTGACTTTATTTATTCATTTAAAGATTTATTTATTTATTTTTACTGGAAAGTCAGACTTGCAGAGAAAAGGAGAGACAGGAAGATTTTCCATTTGCTGGTTCACTGCCCAAGTGGGCGCGATGGCCAAAGTTGGGCTAATCCAAAGCTGAGAGCCAGGAGCTTCTTGCAGGTCTCCCATGTGGGTACAGGTGCTTTTCCAGCCCACAAGCAGGGAGCTGGATGGGAAATAGGGCTGCCAGGTTATGAACCAGCAAGGCAAGAACTTTAGCCACTAGGCTACCGTGCAGGGTCTGGTTGTTGACTTTAGAGTGGCATTGTAGGGTGGACAGAGCACTGGCTTTGCAGCTTGGATGTGTCAGGATGTGAGTGTTGGCTCACCTGGTACACTCTGGCCTTGGACAGTCACTGGACAGCTGTCTGCTTTTCCCCCTCTGCAGTGAGAAGTGAGAGTTGCTTCTCCCTTGCTGGATTGTTGGTACAGCGAGCAGCTGTGTCAGTAGTGTCCTGAGCGCTCTGGTCACCTGCTGGTGGGTGGATGCCCTGCTGGTTTCACCTCCTCTTCCAAAGGAGTGCAAAAACACAGATCTAAACCCACGTTTTATACTTTGACTTGAGCTATTAGTCTATTGAGCTGCTGAACAATTAAATTGGACAGTAGGCTTAAATTTTACTTGTAACCTTACTTGAAAGTTTTTGTTTAAGACTTACTTTTATTTAGGGCCCAGCGTGATAAGCCTAGTGGCTGAAGTCCTTACCTTGGATGCAGGCAGTAGTAGTAGGGAAATCAGAGCCATGCATTGTGATATGAAGCAAGGGCATCTTCACCTCTAGGCTAAGCTCCCACTCCCTGATCCTTACGTGGAGTAAGTCCTGAGGCACTTTCAGCAACCTGGCATCCCACCCGTGAGCACCAGCAAATCTCAGAATTACACTCAGCTGTCCTGGTACCAGCAGATCAACTTGGGGAGATTGTCTTGGGTTTGGGTTTGGGAGATAAGAACTGTTAAATTTCTAGTATTGTTTTTTTAAAGATTTATTTATTTATTGGAAAGTCAGATATACAGACAGGAAGAGAGACAGAGAGGAAGATCTTCCATCTGATGATTCACTCCCCAAGTGAGCGCAATGGCCGATGCTATGCCGATCCAAAGCCAGGAGCCAGGAACCTCTTCTGGGTCTCCCACACGGGTGTAGGGTCCCAAAGCTTTGGGCCATCCTCCACTGCTTTCCCAGGCCACAGGCAGGGAGCTGGATGGGAAGTGGAGCTGCCGGGATTAGAACCAGTGCCCATATGGGATCCCGGGGCATTGAAGGCGAGGACTTTAGCCGCTAGGCCACGCCGCCGGGCCCAATTTCTAGTATTTTTGCCTGTTTTAAGTTATGAATGGAACTAAATTCAATGAGGAGTGACCTTTACTCCATAATCTTACAGTGAGTTGAATTGGTCTGTCACTGTCATCCTCCAAGTAACCACTTTAGCTGGTTTTTTACACACACACACACACACACAAGTTGCTTGCCTTTTTTCTAAGACAGATTGATACTAGAAAGAGAAAAAGATGTTCCATCTCCTGGTTCACTCCCCAAATGGCTGCTATGGCTGGAACTGGGCCAGGATGAAGCCAGTAGCCTGGAATTCCATCCCGGTCTCCCAGGTGGGTGGTCGTATTTGAACTGTCTTTGGCTGTTTTTCTAGGTGTGTCAAGCAGGGAGTTGAATTGAAAGTGGAGCAGCTGAAACTTGAACTAGGACTCATGTGGGTTGCCAGTATTTTAGATGGTGACTTAACCCACTGCACCAACATGCTGGCTCATGAGATGTTTTTTTTTTTTTAATGTATATGTGTGTGTGTGTGTATTAGAGAATCTGAAAGAGTGGGAGAGAGGGCTCCTATTTGCTGTTTCACTTCCCAGGTGCCTATAACAGCCAGAACTAGACCAAGGCCAGAGATAGGAGGCAGGAATGCAATGCAGGTCCCTTTTGTAGGTACCCAATTACATGAGCCATCACTGGTGCATCCCAGGGTGTTCATTACAGATTAAGCTGGAGTTGGTAGCACAGCCAGGACTCAAAAGACCCAGGTTTTCTCAACTACTATGTCAGACAGCTACCCCAAACACAAGGCTTTAACTAACTGGAGTGTGCAGTTCTATGATCTTGGTGATAAGTTGTACCTTCAGTGTCCTTCGAGGTTTCTTCCAACACACGTAGTTGCCCCAAGTTTGTGATTCTTGACTGCCGCCTTCTGAGGAAGCCCTGTGAGAGTTGTCACACTTTTGCCACCATTTCTTCCATTGTTTCTTTTCAAGGAGATCTCTTTGCTGCCACCTTCCTTATTAAGAATGGGGCCCGTGTCAATGCTGCTACGTTGGGTGCCCAGGAGACACCGTTGCACCTTGTGGCATTGTACAGTTCAAAGAAACACTCAACAGATGTGATGTCTGAGATGGCACAGATTGCTGAGGCTCTGCTCCAGGCTGGTGCCAATCCCAATATGCAGGACAGTAGAGGCAGGTAAGTGCCCTTCATACCATTCCCAGAAGCTTGTTTTGTCGTGCCACATAATTGGCATTCAGGGATTTCGTACTTTTTTGGGATTAAGCAATCTGGTCTTATTGAAGTCAGAAATACAGACTTACAATGCAAGTGAGCATCACGGCTAAGCCCAGAGACATTTGTGGGAAATGTTTCCATGCTGCGTGAGTGAAGTCTATAAATTTGTAAGCAGCTTCTGTTGTCCTTGTGCAGACTGAGCCAAAGTGACCATCCAGTTAGGTCCTCCATGGTATCCTGCTTTCAGCATTTCTTAGCATTCTGAGACTTTGAAGAAGTACCCACTGACCCATATTTATTTCAGAGACAGAGTTGTATCCATCACTTCACTCCTCAAGTGCTTGCAACAGCCAAGACTGGACCAGGCTAAAGCCAGGAGCTGGGAACTGTACCCAGTTCTTCCATGTGGGTGGCAAGGACCCAGTTACTTGATGCATCACTGCTACCTACAAGGGTCTGTCTGTGTTGGCACGTAGCTGGAACTAGGAATCGAACCAAGGTATTCCTATGTGGGACCAGGCATCTTGATTTTGAGGACATTTAAGTGCTTGTCCTGGAACTCCTACTTTGATTGTCCACAGCCCAGCCCTTCAAGTGTTTTTCAGCACTTAACTGGTTTTTTTCGTGCTTTCCTGGAAATCTTTAGCTAAGGGTTGCTGTAGTTCAGGAGCTAAAGAAGGGCTGTTTGTCTTTGGGATAGTACTTCAGCCACCTGACTCAACTACAGGTGGGACCCACAGCTCAGTATTGTATGTTTTTGGAACCCTGTCAAAAAATAGACTTCTGGGGTCCAGCAGGATAGGGTAAGTAGTTAATGTCCTCACCTTGAACGTGCTGGGATCCCATATGGGCAGCGGTTCATATCCCAGCGGCCCCGCTTCCCATTCAGCTATCTGCCTGTGGTCTGGGAAAGCAGTCGAGGATGGCCCAAAGCCTTGGGGTCCTGCACCCGTGTGGGAGACCTGGAAAAAGTTCCTGGCTCCTGGCTTCGGATTGGCTCAGCTCCAGCCGTTGCAGTCACTTTGGGAGTGAGCCATCAGACAGAAGATCTTCCTCTCTTTCTTCCTCTCTGTATATCCACCTTTCTAATAAAAATGAATCTTTTTTTAAAAAAAAAAGAGTTCTGTGAAGTTTGGTTGTAAGGGTAGGAAGGTGGATTCAGGTGATGGATAAAGTCCTTGATTAGGTCAGGTGATCTTGTGGTCCTTTGAAAGCAAGTGCAAATTACCATATTTCCCAAAAGGTTGCATATACTTTCCCCAGTTGATTGTTTGCTTGAAGGTCTAGTGCTCTGCAAGGCCAGCTGCTTTAGGGTACTTGAATGCAGAGTAAAAACAGTGATCAGGAGTTACCTGCTACTTACTGAACCTTTAGCAGTTGCTACTCTGTGTGTGTTAGAGTATAACGGAAAATTTGGGGAAAGAAAAACATTTCTGAATTAGTGGCAGGTAGGTAGGTGGGCAAAGCTTGCTCTTAAAAGGATTAGCATATGGACATTCAGTAAAGGATAAGGATTGAATTGGAGACTAAGATGTCTTTCTTTGCTTATTGTGTGTTTTTGGCCACTGAATAAATGGTCATATATAAGGAAGTCTGCTTTCTTATTTAAAGTTTAGTCTGTTTTAGAAAATTACTTGTGGCAGAAATGCTTAATTTCTTCTTGCTGGTAATTCCACATGGGATTCTGCTTGTGCTGTGTTGTGGGCAGTCCTGAGCCTGACCTGTCCTTGCTGACACCTCTTGTTCTCATTCTGCAGGACTCCTTTGCACGTGTCCATCCGGGCCAGGAACGAGCAGGTGTTCAATCAGCTGCTGCTCTGTAAACAGTATGTAGAGCAGCCTGAGCGTGGGAAAGCAATGTGAGGGTGGGGTCGTGAAGGGAGAGTGGGGGAGCAATGTGAGCGTGGGGTCGTGACGGGAAGATGGTCCTTTTTAAACGGCTGTTAGTGTTAACAGGCTTTAATAAGTGCAAATAAACAGTGAGGATTTTGGCAGCACAAAGTAGCTGAAAATTTCTGGTGCATTCATGCTACCTTTTCATTTCAGGTTAGACCTGGAACTAAAAGACCACGAGGGCAGCACGGCCCTGTGGCTGGCGGTGCAGTACATCACTGTGTCTTCTGACCAGTCGGTGAACCCCTTTGAGGATGTGCCTGTGGTTAATGGGACCTCCTTTGATGAGAACAGCTTTGCCGCCAGGCTCATCCAATGTGGCAGCAACACCGACGCACCTGATGCACTGACAGGTGAAGCAGAATAGGCCCCCGAGGGATGAGCTGGGATCGAGTGGTTCCATGAAATGCTTGTGTGCATTTTTGTTTTCTCTTGTTTTAAAGCTTTATTTATCTAAGAGGCAGGCTGACAGGAGAGAGAAACAGAGAAAGAGATCTCCCACCTGGTGGCTCACTCTCCAGATGGCTGTGACAACCAGGGCTTCCCTGGGCCTGTCTGACGCCAGGAGGTGAGAACTCCCACCCAAGGTTCTCACTTGAATGGCAGTGGCCTGCACTTTGGAGCATCTTCAGTTGCATTCCCAGCTGAAGGAAGCTGAATTGGAAATGGAGTGGCCAAGAGCCAAAACAGCATTTGGGGCCCTGTCCATTGTGAAGACATATTTATACAGAGAGACAAAGTTCTTCGATCTGCTGGTTCACTCCCCAAATGGCTGCAACAGCTGGAACTGAGCTTATCCAAAGCCAGGAGCTTCTTTCTGGTCTCCCACATGGGTGCAGGACCCCAAGGCTTTGGGCCATTCTCTGCTGCCTTCCTAGGCCACAAGCAGGGTGCAGACAGGAAATGAAGCTGCCAGGACACGAACTGGCACCTATATGGGATGTTGGTGCTTGCAAGAGGAATTAGCCATTGTGCCACCATTCCAGCCCTGTGTAATGCTTTTACCAAAACTTTGAACACACAGTATGTTACTGAGTTTTTAAGAATTTTGAATAAGCATCTTGATTCTCTCTCTCTCTTTTTTTAAGTTATTTGTTTGAAAAGCAGGTTTACAGAGAGAGAAGGAGAGACAAAGAGATTTTTCAGTTGCTGGTTCACTTCTCAATGGCCACAGTGGGAAGAGCTGGGCTGTTCTGAAACCAGTAGCTAGGAACTTCTGTTGGATCTCCTTCATAGACACAAAGGCCCATAGACTTGTGTCACCATCCTCTGCTTTTTCAGGACATAGGCAGAGATCTGGATTGGAAATGGAGTAACTGGGACACTGCAGTATCTGTCATAAGCTGGACTATGAGGCAAAAGCCCCAGTCCACGTGTTCTTAACAGTGATGTTTAATAATCATAGACCATGGACTGACACCATGGCATAGTAAATTGAGCTTCCACCTGCAGTGCCTGCATCTCATATGGGCACTGGTTCAAGTCCCAGCTACTGTACTTCCCATCTAACTCTCTGCTTATGGCCTGGGAAAGCAGCAGAGGATGGCTCAAGTCCTTGGATCACTACACTTAAATGGGAGACTGGGAGGAAACTCCTGGCTATGAATCAGCTCAGCTGTGACTGTTGTGGCCATTAGAGGAATGGACTGGAGGATGAAATCTCTCTCTGCCTCTCTCACTTTCCTTCTCTCTGTAACTCTGCCTTTCAAATAAAAATTGTTATAATTTCAGGTGGTATTTGACCTGTTTCAAGAAAAAATGGTTGTTCACTAAGGGTGAAACCACTTTCTTTGAGGACAAAGGAAGCATGTTGAATCAGAGTGTCCTATTTCTCTCCCTTGTCTTCAGTCCTGTTTTTTTTTTTTTTCCACCCCTTGGGTTTCCACATGGCATAGCTGTAGAACGTGAGATCTGATGTTAATTTTTGGAAAGGAGTTTCGGAAGATTGAGGAGCACTGTTCCAAGGCTAAAAGCATGTTAAGAATAAAAATACTTTTTTCTTTCCAAGATTTTTATTTAAAAAGGGTGACAGTAGTAAGTAAAGTGTTTCTGTGGTAGGAGCAAACATATTTTTGACCCTAGGAATGAAAGTGAAGTATGTAAGGGCCTTTGTTTTGATTGAACTTGGCTCAGAGTGCCTTCAAAATGATCCAGCCCAGTGGTTCTCAGCAAGGAGCAGTTTTTGCCAGGATATTTGGCACTACCTATTGACATTTTCATTATGACACATTCAGAGGTCCCACTGGCATGTGGTGCGCGAAAGCCAAGGATACCCTAAAACGTTACATAGTGTTCAGGCCACACTGGCACAATGGAACCATCCCATCCATGACTGTAGTAACAGCACTGTTCTGGAATCTTGATGTCTCCCAGCTGCAGCTGGGAGGTGTAACTCTGGTGCTAACGGGTTCCAAACCAGATCTTCCACGGTGTCTTTGTCCATCAACAGTGCGGACTGAAATAATTGGTGCATTTGATGTGTGTTTCCATAGCCAGGTGGTGGGAGGAGTAGATGCTGTGGACATAATTTCCATGCACATAGAAGAATAAACTTGCCCATTTTTCTTCCAGGAAATTGTTTACTGCAGCGCGCAGCTGGAGCAGGAAATGAGGCAGCAGCTCTTTTCCTGGCAACCAATGGTGCCCATGTCAACCACAGAAACAAGTGGGTGAGTCTGACAGGGCAGCTGTGGGGCATAGTTTGGGACTAGGTATTAGTGTTGGTACTGGCTGGGTAGAAACAAAATGAAGATTCCTTTTTTTTTTCCCTCATCAGCTTTTGTCACAACGATATGCTTGTATATTTAAAAACTAGAGTGAGACATTTTTGTGTGTCCTGCACTACTGGTTGATCACTTCGTTCAGTACCCATTTGCCAAGTACTTGTCTTCAAATCCATAATTAGATTCCTAGGACTGGCTACTCTGGTTGAGATTAGCACACGTGAATGTAAAAACCTACTAGAACAACATGCCGATTCTCAGGCACATTTTTCCCTGTTAAGGTTTTACTTTATGAATGCTCATTAGTGTGTATTGCAGCTAACAAGGTAGAAGGCAGATGTAATGGCTAAAAATGCGGTCTTGGAGTTGGGCATGACTGGGTTTGCCACCTCTCTCATTTCCTCCCTATAATCCTTAAATTTTTGATTTCTGTTTTCTTATCTATAAATGGGGCTAATACTGATTTCATAAAATATGGTTAAGATAAAAAGAAATTATAGAACTATTGTTAGCATAGATCCTGAGACATTAGCTATTAAGTGCTAGTTATTGGAAAGATGTTCTTAAGGACCACTTAAAAAATAATAATAAAAGTAATTACCTTGTGCTGGAGGAGGCTTTAAGGAAAGAATCCCTTTTAGTTGTCCCAGTGGACCTAGAAGCAACAGTCCTGTTACGATTAAATAGGCGTCTTCCTCATGTGTAAGTCACTCTGAGGTTATAAGAGGCTCACAAAGGATGGTGATAGTTCTAGAATGTGTCATTCGCACTGTCTGGGCCGTGTGTCAGGGTAGGATGTACAATACACCATGCAGTCTAATATCGTGGTAAAGGCAGAGGCATCCTTGCCCTCCCTTCAGTCCACTGACTGGCCTCCCACGTGGCTTCCCGTCGTGCGGGGAGGCCTGGGGAGCCCCTCTATCCACTAGAACATGGTTCCTCTTTACAGCCCTGCTTCTTCGCCCTCGTCTGCTCTGTGACTTTGCTCCTACCATTGTGTGTTTCTTTCTCTGTGTGTTGTTCTGTTTCTCATTAATTTCTTTATTAATTTCTCCTAGAGATGTGCTTTATTGTCTCCTGACTTTCACAGATCCTCCCTAGAGTTCACATCTACCAGATGGTTTTATTTGTCATTTGTTGCTGTGATACCTATCTTTATAACAAAACAAGGTGAAACTTGAGGTGAAGGAGCACAGGGGGACCTGAACTGAAAACAACTGAGCTGCACTGTGGAAGGGCCTCAGATGGCTTTAAGATGTTTGGACTGGATCCTTTTGGGCTAGAAACCTGGGTTTTAAGAGGCTCCTGCTTGTTGATACTGGTAGAAGCCATGGGAGTAGAGAAGCATACCCAGTGAAGATGTGTAAGAAGAAAGATTGGACAAAAGCTGGGCCCAAGCAGAACTTAGTTGAAGGCAGTGACCATAACAGATGCTCTCTTGCTGTGGGGAGAATGTGGTGGTGATGGAAGGATGCATGTCAGGGCGAGGGGGAGAATGCACTTGATAAATTCACAGTGAAAAAGAAGTGAATAAGTAGATGAACGATTCTCTTTCTTTGTCACTTTGCTTTTCAAATATATAAATATACCTTTACATTTTAATATAGATTTATTTTTATTGCAAAGTCAGATATACAGAGAGGAGGAGAGACAGAGAGGAAGATCTTCTGTCTGATGATTCATTCCCTGAGTGACCGCAACGACTGGTGCTGCGTTGATCCAAAGCCAGGAGCAAGGAATTTTTTCCAGGTTTCCCATGCAGGTGCAGGGTCCCAAGGCTTTGGGCCATCCTCACCCGCCCTCCCAGGTCACAAGCAGGGAACTGGATGGGAAGTGGAGCTGCCAGGATTAGAACCAGTGCCCATATGGGATCCTGGTGCATTCAAGGCGAGGACTTTAGCCGCTAGGCCACTGCACCAGGCCCAATATATATATATAAATATATATATATATATATATGTTTAACACTAACAATATGGAGGTTACAGATACCAAGCTGACAAAACTAAAAATGGTTCCCTGTGGGAAAGGAGAATTGTTTTTTCTTTTTAAGATTTATTTTTATTATTTATTTATTTTATTGGAAAGGTGGATATACAGAGAGGAGAGACAGAGAGGAAGATCTTCCGTCCAATGATTCACTCCCCAAGTGAGCACAACGGGCCAATGCTATGCCAATCCGAAGCCAGTAGCCTCTTCCGGGTCTCCCACGCGGGTGCAGGGTCCCAAAGCCCTGGGCTGTCCTCAACTGCTTTCCCGGGCCACAGGCAGGGAGCTGGATGGGAAGCAGGGCTGCTGGGATTAGAACCGGCGCCCATATGGGATCCCGGGTGTGCAAAGCGAGGACCTTAACCACTTGTGCCATCGCGCCGGGCCCCAAGGAGAATTGTTTTTTAAGAAAAAGGAATTAGGATCTTGCTGTTTTTCACAGTAACAGCTATTGACTTTTCAGTGATAATGATGTGTAATTTTGCTAGAGCAATATATGTTTATATATATAGATCAATATTTTGCATTTCCTTCCATGTATTTAAGTGAGAAGAAATCTCATCTTTGTATACAGGCATACATAAGCTTGCATGTGCACACAGATGTATTTGTATGTTTTTCTGTTCATGTTATGGTGTTGGAGCAAAGCATAAAACCAGTGTAAATGGATCTTTCAGGAGAGGGTGAATTAGCTGTTGGAAACCAGGGGTGGGAAGTGGTTTCTATCGGCCTCATGTTTTTGTGCATTTTGAATATCGAATAAGATGCCTGTGATGCCAATCAAAACTTTTTATTTTTAAAAGTGGGGAAACAAGGTGAAGATGAAATTGATACGAGCAGATGTTAGAAGGTGGATAAAGAGAAGGGACAACCCACAGTGCTAAATGTGCTGACTTCTGGGTCTCTAACTTGCAAGTTCTTCCAGCTTTCTGTAGGGTCTATTTTGTGAACACATAAAAATTGTTGTATTATAATAACACGTAATATGTTTTATGATTAGAAAGACAATAATGAAAACAAAGCAAAGGGTGGTTCAGGCAGTGTCTTGGGGGAGACACAGTGGTAAGCCAGGGCATGAAGAAGGCAGTTGGAAAGGCACTGAAAGAACCCACAGTGTTGGTGGCCTCAGGGAAAAGGAACAAGAGTCCCAGAGGTCAGCTGGTGACAGAATGGGCCCCGAGTTCCAGCTGCGCTGCCATCCTTTGAGAAGGAAACTCCTTGCCCTATGTGCTCAGATTTGGGTCATTTGTTTCCACTCAGGGAGAAACCCCACTGCACACCGCATGTCGGCATGGCCTGGCCAACCTCACGGCAGAGCTCCTGCAGCAAGGTGCCAACCCCAACCTGCAGACAGAGGAGGCTCTGCCTTTGCCAAAGGAGTCCCAGGCTGGCTCCATTGACAGTGTCTCTCTGCAGACACCACTGCACATGGCGATTGCCTATAACCATCCAGATGTGGTATCCATCATCCTAGAGCAGAAAGGTAGGTCTTGGATGAGCTGCACCTCAGTTTGACCTGGGACAGTGGGGGGTAGTTAATAAAAAAATCGATGTTTCTCCCACTAGTGGAATTCACATTTTTTTAAAGCTTTTTTTTTTTTTTGAAAAACAAACAGAATGGGAGTGCGTCCATGCCTGGCTAACTCCTTAAATGGTTGCAACAGTAGGGGCTGGGCCAGGTTTTAAGCTGGGAGCCTGGAACCCCGTCCAGCTCTCCCACATGTGTAGCAAGAACCAAAACTTGAGCTATCACTGATGCCTGCCAAGGTCTGCAGGAGATCAGAGCTTGGCATGAACCCAGGTGCTTTTGATGGGAGCGTCTTAATTGGCATCTTAACCACTGGACCAAGTGCCTACCCTTACTGATCTGAGTAAGAAATATAGCGAATTTCTTAGCCTGTTCTCCCAACCCACTCTCCCTCCCCTCCAGTCTTTCAAGACTAACGAGATAGGGAAACTTGGCTTTTACTGCTGTTTCCCTGTGCAGATTGGGTATGCCCGTTTCACGTGTTACGTTATTCAAACCTTTGTCCCTGCTCTCTTATTTTGGGATATATTTCCATTCCTTTTCAGTTCTGTTTTTGAGAATGGGCTGGGCCGTCCTCCCGTGTGTGAGCCTCCCCCCGCGGGGGCCATTGAAGGAGCCTGAAAGGGGCCGGCGGAGCCCCTGCCGGGGAGAGGCCCGTCTCTCTCTCTCAAGGTCTTCTAGGGTTTCTCTTGGCTGTCTTGAAATGTCTTTCTTTCTTGTCCCAGCCTTTATTAAGGCCAGCATTGTGCCCCTGGAGGTCAGGAAGGTTTCACGTAGAATAATGCGGTTTTCTTGGTCCTCAATGGAGGCTTAAGATTGTAGGTATTGGGCCTGGCGTGGTGGCGCAGTGGTTAAGGTCCTCGCCTTGCACGCCCGGGATCCCATATGGGCGCCGGTTCTAATCCCAGGAGCCCCGCTTCCCTTCCAGCTCCCAGCTTGTGGCCCGGGAAAGCAGTCGAGGACAGCCCAGGGCTTTGGGACCCTGCACCCGTGTGGGAGACCCAGAAGAGGCTCCTTGTTTCGGATCGGCATAGCATCGGCCGTTGCGCTCACTTGGGGAGTGAATTGTCGGACAGAAGATCTTCCTCTCTGTCTCTCCTCTCTGTATATCCACCTTTCCAAGATTGTAGGTATCATGTCTTAGGAAAAATCATCAGGACATTATTATAGTTTGTTTTTGTTTTTGTTTTTATTGGAAAGTCATATATACAGAGATGAGAGACACAGAGGAAGATCTTCCGGCCGTTGGTTCACTTCCCAAGCAACCACAATGGCTAGAGCTTCACTGATCTGAAGCCAGGAGCTTGGAGCCTCTTTTCCCACACGGGTGCAGGGTACCAGGGCTTTGAGCCGTCCTCGACTGCTTTCCCAGGCCACAAGCAGACAGTTGAATGGGAAGCAAGGCCGCTGGGATTAGAACCAGCACCCATATGGGATTCCAGCTCATGTAAGGCGAGGACTTTAGCCGCTAGGCTATGGCATAAGGCCCTGTAGCTTTTTTTAGTGGTCACACAATGTTTGTTTTCTTTGTGGAATCTTCCTTATTTGAAGAGTCCATGTTTTAATTTTTGTTTTATTTGAAAGGTGGAGAGAGAAACAAAGGGAGAGAGAAATAGATCATCTGTGTGGTTGTTCACTCCCCAAATGCCCACAATAGCATGGGCTGGGCCAGGCTGAAGTCAGGACCTGGGGTACAGTCTGGGATCTCATGTAGGTGGCAAGAGAGAGCTTGAGTTATTAGTTGATGCTTTGCTGGATATGCAGTAGCAGGCAGCCAGAATTGGGAAAGGAACTGTGACTCAAACCCAGGCGCTGTGACACGGCGTGCCAGCATTCCAAGTGATGTCTTAACCACTGCTTCTGATGTCTGTACCAAGAGTGCGTGTTTTTAAAAATTCATGTTCCCTGTAAGATTTACCCCAGAAAATTAGATTTGGGCTTCTGCTTCCCATAGGCTTGTTTGTTCTCTGAGATGATCACATTAGTGGCAGTGGGTTTGAAACTATTCATTGTTCTCTTAAATACTTCAGATATGATTGATGGAAATGGTAAGAATCAAACATTTTTTTCCTTTTAAAACATAGCCAATGCCCTTCATGCCACCACCAACAACTTGCAGATCATTCCAGACTTCAGCCTCAAGGACTCCCGAGACCAGACTGTGCTGGCCTTAGCCTTGTGGACTGGTAAGGGTGGCCTGGAGGGTGCTGATTCTACAGGCAGGCAGATCTCAGAAGGGCAGGCAGATGGGTGAGAGAGCAGGAGGGAAGGCGGGGGGAGAGTGGAACCAGTCATTTGGTTATCAAGTATGCTTTGTGTTTGGGTCAAGCCTGCCCTACCCAGTGGATGGATAATGCAGGCTTTGGGAGTTGGAAGGCTCTGTGGTGGCAAGGCGGTGAGCAGGTATGAAGAGCTGAGCATGTGTCAATCAGGCCTTGCGTGTTTCCCAGGCATGCACACGATTGCAGCGCAGCTGCTGGGCTCCGGGGCTTCCATCAACGACAGCATGTCCAGCGGGCAGACCTTGCTGCACATGGCCATCCAGCGGCAGGACAGCAAGAGTGCGCTCTTCCTCCTGGAACATCAGGCGGATATAAACATCAGGTGGGATGAATCAGCACTCCCCGCTGCAACACCGGGTCACATCTAATTCCAGCAGTTCCAAAGCGTGCCCTTGCCTGCAGAAAAGATTTCTATCCCCAAATAAATAAAGAATACAGGTCAGCCTTGTGGGGTACCGGGCTAATTTGTTGCTTTGGTGTTAGCATCCACTATCACAGTATTGAGTATGAGTATGAGTCCTGCTTGTTCTATTTTGAATCCAGCTCCCTGCTAACACCCCTGCGGGAACAGGAGATGATAGCCAATGTTTGGGTCCCTGTGGTGGGAGATCTAATGGAGTTCTAGGCCCTTGGCTTCAACTTGGACTAGCCCAGCTGTTTGAGCCTATTGGACAATGAACCACTGGATCAGAAATCTCTAATTCTGTTTATCACCTGCTTTTCAAATAATTTTAAAATAATGAAAGGCATGGTAGACTAGTGGTTGAAGTCCCTGCCTTGCACGTACCAGTTTGTGTCCCGGCTGCTCCACTTCCCAACCAGCTCCTTGCTTTAGCTTGGGAAAGCAGCAGAGAATGGCCAGGACTGTGGACCCTGCACCCACATGGTAGGCTTCTAAGAGGTTCCTGGCTCCTGGCTTTGGATTGGCTCAGCTCTGGCTGTGCAGCCCCTTGGGGAGTGAACTAGCAGATGGATGAAAGATCTTTCTATATCTTTTCTCTAAATTTGCCTTTCCAATGAAAATAATTAAGTCTTAAAAAAAAACTACACACAAAAAAAAGAAAGAAGAAGGGAAACAGCAACTCTATGAGAGTGCTAATGCAGTGAGTTGAAACGTCCTAAATCAGCAGACCTGTGACCAGCAGGGGCACTGTGCTTTGCTTTTGTTAGAACCTTTCAGGACCAGTGCACACAATATTGCACAAGTTTCTACTATGAGGGATAATCCAAAACCAGTTTTTTGGTGGGAATTTGTCATGATGAAGAGCATTCCAGCAAATAAGCTCCCAGTAAGGCTTGGGGAAGAAAAAGATGTAGGATTAAATATTTTTAAAATGTATTGATTTTCATTTTTTTAAAGGGCCAAGAAATAGAACTTCCATTTGCTAGTTCCATTTGCACATAACAACCAGAGCTGAGACAATTTGAAACTTTGGGAACCCAGTCTGGATCTCCCACTTGGGAGCAGGGAAGAACCCGCCTACTTGAGCCTATACATGCTGTTGCCCAGGGTGTGTATTAGGAAGCTGAGATCCAAAGCAGAGGTAGAACTCTGACCCAGCTCTTCAGTGCAGGATGTGGCCTTCTCAAGCAGCATTTTCACTATGAATTCAAATGCCTGGCCCCCAGAATTAAATTCTTGAAGGAATTTAGGGTTATCTCTGAGCAAACTACAGTGAGTAAGGGAATGAATTGTTAGGTGGATGGTTTGAGTGGTATTGATTAAAATGCTTTTAAATGTAGCTGTTGGTTCCTCTTAGTGCAGCAGGCTGGGATGCTGGCTTGTTATTCTCTGGATGCAGTAGGGTTGCATGGCTCTACTTTCTGAAAAGACAAAAGAGACAGATGCTATTGGTATATTTAATTCCCATGAGAAAATACTAATAACTATGAGTCAAGTAGCCAAGGGGTACAGTGAATTCTGTGCTCTGGAGTGCCACGAGGTACCCCTTGTCCATTAACCCCAACTACAAATCTTGGTTTTGATGTGATGTCCTAGCAGGACTCAGGATGGGGAGACAGCCCTTCAGCTGGCCATCAGAAATCAGCTTCCGCTTGTGGTTGACGCCATATGTACCCGAGGAGCCGACATGTCCGTGCCAGATGAGAAGGGGGACCCTCCACTGTGGCTGGCGCTGGCAAATAATCTGGAGGACATTGCATCTACTCTGGTAGGACAAGCATGCAGCGGTTTCTGCTCACACGGGGGATTATTTGTGTCAAAGATGGATGTGGTACAAACCCAGATCCAGACTCACACTCAGCACAGGAGCAGCACTCTGCCACGTGGCCGACTGGGTCAGGGATGAGGCATGGAGCTGCTGATAGAGTCCTGCTCTTGGCCAGCACTTCCTCTTCAGCGTGTCTTTGCCAACAGCGTAGCTGAGAAGGTAGAGGGCAGGGGCGTTTCCTCGGCAGACTTCTCCTGGGTGCCGTCATTGATGTGCACTTCCCTCTTGATCACAAAACCAGTAAATTCCCAAGTTTCAAGTTTGCGCCCCTGTTCAGAAGGCAGGCTCCAAAAGCGGAAGTGAAGCTGGAGGCCCTCACTCGGCCTTCTGAAGGGCCTGCTGTGTAACAGGGCCACAGTTTGCTTGGGGGGATTTTAGCTTGTTGTTACCAGGCAGGATTGCAAGTGTGTGTGTACACAGGCACCTTTCTAGAATGCCTTGGAGCAGATTTTCATCAGTGTTTTAAAACTAATGAACAGTACAAATTGAAGTAGTTATCAGTTAATTTTCAACCACATCTAGATAAGGTGGTTTAATGTTGTACCTAGAGCTCAGTTTTGGTTTAAAACAAAACAAAAACACCTCACCAGTGCTTGGCAGTATTAGAAGTGTGTGTTCTTCTGCAGGTCAGACACGGCTGTGACGCCACGTGCTGGGGTCCAGGACCCAGTGGGTGCCTTCAGACACTGCTGCACAGAGCCATCGATGAGAACAACGAGGCCATTGCCTGCTTTCTGATTCGCAGGTGCGAGGGGCAGCCCAAGTTTCTCTTGAAATCTTCATCAGCTCTTTGCAAACACAATTTTGATCTGCTTCCAGCCCTGGCATGCCTGTCCCTGGCTTGATTTACATAATTAAGACTGTCCTGGGGTCACTGCTCTCTCACGTCCCATCAGCTGAGTGCCAGGCTCACCTTGTGAGGCAAGAGGCTCACAGGCCTACATCAGTGAGTCTGTAAATTGAATATCCTCTTTGGAGAGCGGCACGAGCTCCTGTAGTCACGTGAGAGCAGTTCACACTGTTGCAGGAGGCCAGATGGTCTTGACAGGACCCCACCAAGGTGCATGAGGGACAGTAGGCACGGAGCCCCTCCAGAAAGTGGGGTCTGTGGGGAGCAGGGCAGTGCTTCTCAAGTTTAGAATACGTGTGAGTCTTGTAGAAGCTTTTAACAATGCTGATGCGCAGTTTTCACCCAAAATCAATTGCAGAGGAGCCTGTGGAAGCGGAACTCAGGTTCCAGTATCTGGAGCCGAGGACTCAGGAGAACAGACCTGGCAGAACCACTTAGTTATTAAGCTTGGAGGAGGCTACTCCCTGCCATCTTAGAGAGCGCTGGAAGCATGGCCGCCCTCCCATTCCCATTCCTTTCAGTGGCTGTGATGTGAATAGCCCCAGGCAACCAGGTGCTAATGGAGAAGGAGAGGAAGAAGCTCGAGATGGGCAAACCCCCTTGCATTTGGCAGCCTCTTGGGGACTGGAAGAGACGGTGCAGTGCCTTCTGGAGTTTGGTGCCAATGTTAATGCACAGGTTTGTGGTTTTCCTTTTTCCTGGGAAGGAGCTGGTAACCACAGAATTAGGGCAGTCCCCATCTATGACAAGGGATCTTAGAGCTCCTCCGGTCCCAGGCTTCTGCTGGACCCTGAATGGGACTTTGTTGTTATTGTTTTTAAAGATTTATTTATTTTATTGGAAAGGTGGATATACAGAGAGGAGGAAAGACAGGAAGATCTTCTGTCTGATGATTCACTCCCCAAGTGACTGCAACGGTCGGTGCTGCGCCCATCTGAAACCAGGAGCCAGGAACTTCTTTCTGGGTCTCCCACGTGGGTGCAGGGTCCCAAAGGCCACAAGCAGGGAGCTGGATGGGAATCACGGCCACTGGGATTAGAACTGGCGCCCATATGGGATTCTGGCGCGTTCAAGGCGAGGACCTTAACTATTACGCTATCACACCGGGCCCTGTGGGACTTTGATAGAAGCAGTGGCGTGACTTGCTGATTTATCAGGTTAACACTTCTCAGTGCTTATGTCCTTGCTCCTGCATGAAGTTTTGTTACATTTGTTTTTTGTTTTTGTTTTTGTTTTTGTTTTTTTGTTTTTTAATTTAAATGACAGAGCAACAGAAAAAGGAAGAGCCAGAGATGTTCCATCTGTTGGTTCACTCCCAAATTGGTCTCAACGGTCAGGTGTGGGCCAGACCAACATCAGGAGCCTGGAGCTCCATCCTGGTCTACCCCACGGATGCAGGAGCCTAAATAGTGTTCCCTTATCTTCCCAGGCATATTATTAGGAAACCAGCCCTCTGATACCAAATACCAGCATTACAAGAGGCAGCTTAACTCCAGCACCCTAACCTCAGTCTGTTATCTATTTTTCTTTGCTTCCTTATTACTCCTTAGTTACAGATTTCTGTTGAGAGTTGATTTAGTCCTGAACGAAGTGCCTTGATTCAGAAAATATTCCAGTTGAGCACCATGAATTATGTTTCTGGATGCTTTTCAACATTCTAGCCTGTTAAGATTTATCCAGAATGCTCAAAGCCAGATCAGGAGCTGAGAGTGAGTGCAGATCCTGGCGTGTCACTGGGAGCACCTTGTAATGGGGAGGATTTCCAGTCTTTCCTGTGTTGGGCCATTTCAAGTACAGGGTGATAGTGTGGATTTTAATAACCAACATTTGATTTCAGGAGTATTTCCTTCTAGAGTTCTGAGCTTTCAGTTCAAGCTGAAGACTCTGGTGTGTCCCCCATAGGATGCAGAGGGAAGGACGCCTGTCCACGTGGCCATCAGCAACCAGCACGGTGTCATCATTCAGTTGTTGATCTCTCATCCTGATATCCACCTGAATGTCCGAGACAGACAAGGGCTGACCCCGTTTGCCTGTGCCATGACTTACAAGAACAACAAGGCAGCTGAGACCATTCTGAAACGAGAGTCTGGGGCGGCCGAACAGGTGAGTGCAGTGACACCCAGTGTCCTCCCTCGGAGGACCTGCCATGCGGAGACAGGCAGGTTCGTCTCTCCCAAGGCATTTGCTGTGAAGTTATGCTACCCTTTCTTAAAACTGGACCATTGAGGCCTCTGAATGTTTTAGAGGTGCAAGGTTGTTGCTCAGCTTAGAGGGCCCTGTTGTCTTTGTTCTTTGCTGCCCTTCCCTGGCTGCTGAAAGATTGATGTGGGTGGGTGCGCATGGGGAGTAACAGCCGTGAGGTGGGAGCTGTGATGTTTGGTGGTGTTGGCCCTACAGAAGCCTGCATCTTCCAACAGCACTTAGAACACCGTGGAGATTGTACCTTGTTGCCTAGGAAGGTCAAGTGGGAGCTCAGGACCTGAGGCAGATGGGCTCTGATGTGGTTGAAGGTTGTTGCTTGGAATTTCAGGCTTGTGGCTCTCAACTTTCTTGAGCATTTGTGGAGATGTGACTGGATTGCCTAGGTGTTATCTTTACTCTCACTCACATGGTGTCAAGAGTTCGCGAATGGAGACTGGCACCTCACATTTGCTATTCATCTAGTATAGAACTGTTGCTGTTGATCCATGTCCTCTGCAGGTGTGTGTGGAGCAGGTGATGGGCCCTTGCTTCCACCTGAGACAATCTTCTAACTGCAGTCCTCTGAATGGTTTGATTTGAGGGAGCTGCCTGCTTCACATTAGTAGAGCCAAGTTAATGACATGCTTGGCTGCCTGCCCCACTGAGAATTACCCTGCTCTCAGGAAACTTCCTGAAGTTTTCTGAAGCCTGTGATTGCTGTGCTGTCATGCTGGCGTCACAGCTATGGTGATAGGACCCTGGTTATTTGTGGTAGTGCAGGCAAACAGACCCTTTGCCTCTTCCTGGACATCTCAGGATTCTTCCGTCATCCGGCTTTGCACATCTCCTTCCCTCTGTTGCAGGATGCCAGGGCAGCATGGGTTGGTGCAATGCCTTCGCCTCTGCATGGATGTGATTGTGCTCATGCAGCCGTGCACAGAAGTGTAGTATGGCTCTGTTGTGTGTGTGTGAGGAGGCAGCAGCACATGTGGTTCTTCGAAGGGAACTTTCCTGAAGTGAGGGCAGGTCTGCATCCTGACCTCTCCAGTGGTCAGCGAAGCTTGCAGATGTCCAGGAGGTACCATTCAGTAGGAGCCTAATAATAGTGTGTGGTTTCTACTTCCTGTCTTAGGTAGACAACAAGGGTCGGAATTTTCTCCATGTGGCAGTTCAGAACTCTGACATTGAAAGTGTCCTGTTCCTGATAAGTGTCCAGGCTAATGTGAATTCCAGAGTCCAAGATGCTTCCAAATTGACCCCTTTGCACCTCGCCGTCCAAGCAGGCTCAGAGATCATTGTCCGCAACTTGGTGAGTGACACAAATACGGTTGCATGTTACATGTGAACAAATAAATTGTGGAACATGTGAATATTCTCACCACAGGTAAACTGCCAGGTGCTGTGGAAGGCCAGCACAAATTTGGGAAATGAGGCCAAAACACTCCGCACTGTAGAAGTGTCAGCAGTGGCACATACTGAGTGCCCAGAAGGCACAGGTGGAATGGGGCCAAGGCTGGGCCAGAGAAAGAGGGAATGGTGGTGAACCTCTTCTGCTGTCTGTCTTCTCAGTCAGGCACTCACATGGCACCTCCACATGAGCTGTCAGTGGATTCTCAATGCTGTGAATGGATCTGTATGTTTTTTTATTTATGTGATTATCAGAGTGATAGGGAGAAGCAGAGAGAGAGTTCTTCATTTGCTGATTCACTCTCCGAGTGCACGCAACAGCCAGTGCTAGACTAGGCTGAAGCCAGAGCCAGAAACTATAATGTAGTCTCCCCTATGGGTGACAGGGCCCATGTACTTAAGTCATCACCCACTGCTTGTCAGCTACATTAGCTGAGCTGGCTTGAAACAGCACCCCAATGCTGACTGTACCCCAACACCACTGGAGTGTTTTACAAAGGAGAAAATGTAGGCCAAAGGCCCTCCCTGCCCACTTCCCAAGCCCTAGTGTTGTAGCTGGGACTTAGCCATTTTTGTTTGATCCCAGAGCCACCTTCTTATAGTACATTGTGATGTCACCAGGTAGGGGTAGAGTCTGGGCAAAGATGTAGATTGGAATATGCATGCGATGTGTTTCATGGAACATTTGGGTGATGCTTTGAGCAGAGTTGAAGGAGATGTGGCAAGACAGAAACCAGCTCATGGGATATCAGGTTTCAAACCAGGAACTGTGAGCAGCCCTCATCCTGTAGACAGTGGAGAAGCCACTGTCCATGTTGGTTCCGAGCCAAGCCAGACTCCATGGATCTGGCCTGCTCCTCTAACTGGCTGTGCGAGCGCCTCTCCTGCAGAGCTGCTGTCATGGTGGCTTTGACTTGGGAAAACATTTTTTAGGTACCTTTATTGACTTGAAATCTTAGCTGAGAGCCTGGCGCAGTAGCCTAACAGCTAGAGTCCTTGCTTTATACATGCCAGGATCCCATATGGATGCCAGTTCTAATCATGGTAGCCCCACTTCCCATCCAGCTCCCTGCTTGTGACCTGGGAAAGCAGTCGAGGAGAAAGCGTTGGGACCCAGCACCCTCATGGGAGTCCCAAAAGAGGCTCTGAGCTCCTGGCTTCAGATCTGCTCAGCTCCAGCCCTTGCAGCCACTTGGGGAGTGAATCAATGGACGGAAGATTGTTGAGATGGGGTTGTTAAGAGCCCCCATTTCGCTCCTGTTTTAGCTAGCTGAGGAGACACCTGTCTTCTGTGGATGTGAACAGGCAGCAGGGCCCCGGAGGGGTCTTCAACTTGGCTAGAAAATCAACTCATGTAATCAACTTGCACAGCTTCTTGCAGGAGCCAAAGTGAATGAACTAACCAAGCACCGCCAGACCGCCTTGCACCTTGCCGCCCAGCAGGACCTGCCCACCATCTGCTCCGTGCTCCTGGAGAACGGAGTGGACTTCGCTGCTGTCGACGAAAACGGCAACAACGGTAATTCCCAGTCCTTGCTCCAGCTGTGGTGTCAGCTATCTCGGGCACTCCCTCTGTGCCGGGATGGAGGCCCCTGCACCCTGCTGTCCCTCAAGGAGATGAGCTCTTCCAGAAGCTGAGCTGTGCCCGCGAGCGCTCTGGCCAGCGCCTATGGCCTGCTGCTGACTAGTACTTCGGCCACCTTCCAGTCTGCTCAGCAGGCTCAGAAGCCTCATGTGAGCTTCTTCTTTTTTTTTTTTTTAAGATTTATTTATTTTTTTTAATTACAAAGTCAGATACACAGACAGGAGGAGAGACAGAGAGGAAGATCTTCCATCCGATGACTCGCTCCCCAAGTGACTGCAACAGCCGGTGCTGCGCCGATCCAAACCTAGGAACCAGGAACCTCTTCCAGGTCTCCCACACGGGTGCAGGGTTCCGAAACTTTGGAATGTCCTCGACTGCTTTCCCAGGCCACAAGCAGGGAGCTGGATGGGAAGTGGAGCTGACGGGATTAGAACCGGCGCCCATATGGGATCCCAGAGCATTCAAGGCGAGGACTTTAGCTGCTAGACCACGCCGCCAGGCGCCTTATGTGAGATTCTTGGAAGACGAGCAGAGAGAGAGCACAGGCTCTTCAGGATGCATTCCTGACACATGCTTGGGGCGTGCTGGCTGAATCACACAGCTCCACACGGGGCAGCCCCTGACCTGAGTCCCATTGAGAAGGGGGTTCGGGAGGGGGAGGAGTTGTTTTCTCCACATGTCCCTCTGGGCATGTCCAGTAAGAGGATTTACTCCCCAGCTCTTCATCTGGCCGTCATGCACGGACGGCTCAACAACATCCGGGTTCTCCTGACCGAGTGCACAGTGGACGCAGAAGCCTTCAATCTGAGGTGAGTGTTTCTGGTGCTGTCAGGGACTGGGCCTGCACATCACCCGTCCCTGTCACCCAGCACTTGTGCCCCATCAGCCCCAGGGGCAGACTGCAGAACCAGCCACTTCAGTGCTTGGCAAGTTCTTGGAACACTAGTTCTGTTTTGTTTTAAGATTTATTATTATTTTTTTTATTATTTGAAAGGAGAGACATTTGGTTCACTCCCCAAATTGCCAGTATGTCTGAAGCTGAGCAGATTTGAAGCCAGGAGCCCAGAGCCTCTTTTAGGACTCCCATGTGGGTGCAGGGTCCCAAGGCTTTTGGCTGTCCTCTCATGCTTTCCCAGGCCACAAGCAGGGTTCTGCAGATGAAATGGAGCATCCAAGACAGGAACCAGTGCCAATATGGATGCTAATGCTTGTGGGTGGAGGATTAGCCAGTTGAGCCAGTGTGCCAGCCCCCTAGTATTTTATTTTGTGAAAAGTATTTTTGGAAAACCGTTATGACCTGTGATGTGTCCCTTGGATTTATCTGGCATCACAGAATTTATGCAGCTCTATTTCTTATGTGTCTTTTTTTTTTTAATAATGGTTATATAGTTGACCAAGGTGGGAAGGATGGAAGGCTAGGGAAAAGTGAGCGTGATCACGGTTTCCATATTTTCTACATTTCTTCCATGTCTGATAGCCATGGCAGTTCTTGATATGTACCTAACTTTTGCGACTTGTTTGACCAGAGGCCAGTCACCACTGCACATTCTGGGACAATATGGCAAAGAGAATGCAGCAGCCATCTTTGATCTCTTCCTGGAGTGCATGCCTGAGTATCCTCTAGATAAACCAGATACAGAGGGAAACACAGGTAAGGGGAAAGGACGGGCTGTCTCCCACACGCAGGCCTCCTGGAGAAACAGGGTGCTGAGCCCCGCTGTCAGTGTCTAAAGGAAGTCAGCCTGGACCGTGAAGCATCCCAACAGAGGCACATGGCCGCTGGTGGGTGGCCCGTGCTGCCCGGCCTTGCCCAGGTCCAGCAGGCCTGGCCCATTGTCTGCCTTGTGCTCTTCTGCCTTTCGTCTGCCCTGCTGAGGCTCTGCCCAAGCTCCCAGAGTCCAGCAGAGGGGGAATACGGGTGCCCCACAGGGCATGTCACAAGAGGACCTGCACGTCAGGATGGGCTGACATGCTCGCAGATGTGACAATGGCATGCAGGTCCCCAGGCTGACCTTGACTCTGGTGATTTTGCTGTGGCTGCTCACAGTCACCATGCTCATTTGCTGAGTGTTCTTAGCCAGAACAGAGACTTCTGCTTGCACGGTCGCAATCGCCCGGCAAGGTTAGCCAGCACATAGCCATGTCTGCGGTCTTCAGCAGAAGCCGGTCTCTGCCATGCTGGGCATGTGGGATCCCCGAGAGCCTTGGCTACCACTGCCTCCTCACTTGTTCAGCCTCCAGCCAGACACAGCCTCCATGGCTTGGGGCAGAAATACCCCAGGACACTCCTAACTCAGCAGGGACCAGTCTTTCCCCATCAGATCTTGGCTTGTCATTGGCAGTGTGCAGGAGTCAGCCTCTGAGGATGTGCTGCTGGACCCAGGGTGCATGGGCTAGGGTATAGACTTCACTGCCCGGGGGCTGGTCCCCAGGAAGAAGGGGCAGGGCAGCACATCATGACAGAGTAAACCATCTAACCTCCCCATGCCCTGGTCCTCACGAACTGCAATAGTAAGCCTGTTAGGACATTGCTTTGTGTTTCAATGAAAGGTTGTAGATGGAGGTTGAGATGCAGGCAAGCAGTGGGCAGCCGCCTTGGCTGTGTTAGTCGGGAAGGCCGAGAGGGTGCCTGGCCAGAGCTTGGTTCCCACTGGGCCTGCACCTGTGCAGAGCACGTTTCCCTCACTGTTATTTTTCCCAGGTGTACACAACTCACAGATCTGAAGATTGAGGTACAGTGAGTTGAAAGAACTTTGTTCTGTGGCAAAGCAAGTGTTTCCTGCCAGAGGAAGGTGACAGAAAATAGCGTCTCTTCCTTGGTTCTCTTGGAGCCTGAGATTACGTGGGAAAGGATATGTCCTGCTCCTCTGACTCCCCTGGCGGGGCACTGTGCTGCTCTGTGGTGGGCTCTGCAGAGTCTCCAGCCTTTAGGTGCCAGGCGACAGCTCCTGCCTGCCCTGCCCATCGCGCCCCCTGAGCAGGGCCACATTGGGGCCAGGTAGAAAGTCATCCCACCTGTGGTTGTGTTTTGCAGTGCTCCTCTTAGCCTACACGAAGGGGAATGCCAACTTGTGCCGTGCCATCGTCCGGGCTGGGGCTCGCCTCGGGGTCAATAACAACCAAGGAATCAACATCTTCAACTACCAGGTGGCCACCAAGCAACTGCTTTTCCGACTGTTAGGTGAGTGGCCGGCTGCTGTGCTCCAGGCCAGCTTCCTCCTTTGCGTGTTACCTGCTCTGCATGTCTCGCAGGGATGAACTGTGACATGGAGCCCTGGCTCTCCTGCTGCCCCGGCCACGCGGAGGGCCCCCGAGCAGTGAGGGACGGTCAGTTTTGCAGACTCCTCACAGTGCTCTGCTTTGCGACCCTCCTCATTTTCTCACAAGCATGAATCTTCCAGAAATCCACAAGCTCCAGGCAGAGCACCTTGGCCTGCCTCCTGGCTGTCTTTCTGCATACTCGCCTGCCTGTTTTGGACGGATTCTGTCAGCTGCTTCAGTACTCACAACCCCTACTTCTCCGTGGGAAACACAAGACACAAGTGCAGCAATCTTTTTCTTTTCTTTTTTAAATTATTATTTTATTTTTATTGGAAAGTTGGATATACAGAGAGGAGAGACAGGAAGATCTTCAGTCCAGTGATTCACTCCCCAAGTGGCTGCAGTGGCTGGAGCTGAGCCAATCCGAAGCCAGGAACCAGGAGCCTGGAGCCTCTTCCCACACATTGCAGAGTCCCAAGTGTCCCACCCAGGTACAGGGTCCCAAGGCTTTGGGCCATCCTCAACTACTTTCCTAGGCCACAAGCAGGGAGCTGGATTGGAAGCAGGGCCACCAGGATTGGAACCAGTGCTTATATGGGATCCAGGCTCATGCAAGGTGAGGACTTTAACCACTAGGCTACCGTGCTGGGCCCTCTTTTTTTTTTTTTTTTTTTTTAATCAGGGCCAGTGCTGTGGTATAGCATGTTAAGCCACTGCTTGTGAGGCCCACATCCCATAGGGGTACTAGTTCAAGTCTTGGCTGTTTCCCTTCTAATCCAGTTTCCTATTTATGTACCTGAGAAAGCAGCAGAAGATGACGCGTCTATGGGCCCCTGTACACATATGGGAGACCTGGAAGAAGCTCCTGATTTCGGACTGGCCCAGTCTTGACCTTTGTGACAAAATGGGAAATGAACCAACAAACAGAAGATCTCTCTCTGTTTCTTTCTCTGTAACTCTTTCTAAATAAATGATAAGGGGTGGTGCGGTGCATGTGCCTGTGCTGCCAGCATCCCGTATGGATGCCACCTTGTGTTCCAGCTGGTCCACTTTTGATCCAGTTCCTTGCATTTGGCCTGGGAAAGCGCTCCCATGGAAGACCCAGAAGTTTTTAGGTCCTGACTTCCGACCAGCCCAGCTCTGGCTGTTGCAGCTACTTGGGAAGTAAACAAGTGAATGGAAGATTTCTCTTTCTTTCCCTCTCTTAACTCTGTCTCCTATAAAAATAAGTAAATCCTGATTAAATAAGTAAATATTTAATTACTCGTGCTTTCATTTGGAAGGTGAGTCACGGAGAGAAAGGCATCTTCCATTTGCTGATTTACTCTGCCAATGACCACAGCATCCTAGCCTGGGTCAGGAGCAGCCAGGGGCCAGGAATTCCACCTAGGGCTTCTGCTGCCTTCCTAATCAACATTCGTGGAAAGTTGAGTTGGAGTGTTGCAGCTAAGACACGAACCAGCAGTCGGACACAGCATGCTGGCACCATAGCTTGACCCTCCCTGCCACAGTGCCGTCCTCAAATGCCTCACTGCTCCTTGTGGCCGCCTCTGCTGTTAAAATGCTGCTCCGTCCCTCCTGTCCGTCTGAGGTGCCCCACTCCCACAGAGCTTGGAGTCCTGCCTGGCGCTGGCCCTGCTGACCGGACCCATCTTCCCGGTGTCTTACAGATATGCTGTCCAAGGAGCCTCCATGGTGTGATGGCTCCAACTGCTACGAGTGCACCGCCAAGTTCGGAGTCACAACTCGCAAGCATCACTGGTAAGAGCCCCCTGAGGCCTGCGGGGCCCTCACCAAAGTCCTGCCTCACTGCCTTCCGTGAGGAGCGTGACCTGCCAGGACCCTGGGTACCCATTGCATTGTTGGGAAGATGCACAGGCTGGCAGTGTCCCTGCTAGGAGCTGAGGGCTCGTGGTGCCTCCCCTACTCCCCCGTCACATCCTGTTCCCCTGGCTGCTTGCTCACTGCAAAGCTGATGGCAGCCTTTACCCTTGCTCTTAGAAAACAGCCTTCTTTGGCACCACTTTTACTTTACAATGCTGGAATTTGGTTCTTTGTGGACTAAAAGCAACACATAAGGATGGTGCCTTGGCCAGCAGGTGGCAGTAGTCTGGGCAGGGTTACCCCTGTCTGGGAGGGAGGCTGAGAGGCCCTGCTGCGTAGCTCCCCACGGGGGCGCCGCCTGCTCCTGCCCTTGCCCATCTGTCCCCTCACACTCCCTTTTTTTGCTTCCACAGTCGTCACTGCGGACGTCTTCTTTGCCATAAGTGCTCGACCAAGGAGATTCCCATTATAAAGTTTGATCTCAACAAGCCAGTGCGTGTTTGCAACATTTGCTTTGATGTGCTGACTCTGGGTGGGGTCTCTTAGTGTGCCCTGAGGAGGTCCGAGCCATGACCTCGGTCCTCGCCCCAGCAGCTGCTCTGCTCACCAGCCTGCCCCCCGCCCAGAGCAGGCACTGGCAGCCATCCTCCTGTGGCAATAGACTGGAACAGTGGCAGAGCCCAGCGCCATCCTGGTGCAGACGAGTCTGTGTGATTGTCAGTGTGTCAGACTGTAATCAGGTTTATTTTGATGTCTCATTCTTGGACCAGGCCATGTGGCCTCCGTGGTGGATGTGATAGACAGTAGGCCCCCGTCTGCCAGCAGCCTCCAAGGATACGCCGAATCCATGGTCCCTTCCCCAAGCCGGGCCAGCTGCTCCTGAGAGCCGGTAGCCCCTGGCCCAGTGGCGGTGGACTTCTCTGTGGAGTTTTCACAAAGATGAGTGGGACCTTCTGCCCTGGAGTCTTCCTCCCCCTCCCCCACCAAGCTGAGCTGTATTTTTAGTGAGCTACCCCTTTTAAAAAGCGAAATCTTTCTAAACAGGGTTCAAAATTGAGAGCTAACAAATCGTGGCCTTAACAGCAGAAAGCTTTACCAGTGTTCATGCTACCAAGGTGTCCACTGTGCCACTGGGCAGCCTGATGTCTCTGAGCACCGTCTCCCCTCGTCCTCTGGTGTCCCGTCTGCGGCCTCAGTCAGTCAGCCTGCCACCAGGGTGTATGTGGTGGCGGGGAGGGTGGGGGCAGATGCACTTTGATTGTGCTGCACTTTTGACATAGATGCATTGTTGGTGATCCTGGATTTCCAGAAAGAACCCTGCCCATCCTGGCCTCTGTGACTCTAACATGCAGCTTGGGCTCCTGTAGTGTTTTGGAGCAAGGGAATCATGCTGGCCAGTGGCACGAGGGGGGCCTCAGTGAGAGGGCAGCGCTGAGGCGGGGGGAGCTGTCTCCTTGATGCACACCTTTCTTGCTGAAGCCCCTCCTCCTGCCAGGCGGGGCCAGTAGCTCCAACACTGCCTGGCCTCCCGTGCCCCGTGTGCCCAGCCCGTGTTGGAAGGCTCTGGCTTGGCAGCTCAACGAGGCCTCCAGAGCTTGTGGGGCCTTAGTTGCTGCTAGTATGCACGTTACCCCTGCAGTGTTCAATTTTAAAGGTTTGGCAAGTTTTTTTAAATGCGCAAAGAAACTTATCAGTGCTTTTCTAAAAAAATAGAATTCTGAGATGGACAATGTGTTAGTTCTACTCAGAGGTCAATGATCTGAATCATACATTCTGATTTTTTTAGACATTTAATAACCACTACATTTTTCTTAACATTAATGAAGTATGGATTTATGTGTGTAGAAGGGACTTTTTTCCCTAGCAGCCTATGTTTTTTGGTTTGTTTCTTTTTGGATAGTGGTATTCCCTACATGTTGCTGTAGATTTATATATTCTGTTGCCTAAATAAGTGCGTCAAATGAGCTGACAGATAAGAGTGCTACTTTTAAAAATAATTATGTGATTTATGAGATATATATGCTTTCTATGTCAATATGAGCTTGTGTACAATGCTTAAAACAATTAGAAGAGTCCCCTTGTCCCCACAGCTGTGGCATATTTCATGTAGGATTTTTATAGAAAAACTCAATCTCGGCAAACACTTGCCATGCGAGACCCATGACCAGCTTCCATTTTCTGTCCTGTGACAAGGGCCACAGGAAGTGTGGCTTCCTTGGGTAGCTTGATCCTTTCATTACAACGAGAGCATTCTGCTTCAGGTGGGAACTGAGACGGGCAGCCTACACAGCTGTTCTTGCTTCATTCTCCCTTGCCCTGGCACACCCATCTGACAGTCTGCCCTCCAGCTGTAGCTGCAGGCTTCCCCTCTCCTGTGTCCTCCGAGCACAGGGACAGCAGTGGTCCTGAGTGCCTCAGCTGGGAGAGTGTTCCAAGTTCTGCACTGGCTGCAGAATGCCAGCTGGTCTTAGGAAATCTCCCGTCTCCAATGCAGCCCTGACTGGCACCCGTGGTGGGATTCAACCATCACTGCCCTGGTAGGGACTCGGCACACCCGAGTCCCTTAACTACCTAGCCATCCCTGGTCAGCTTTCAGCAGCAGTTTCAGTGCTAGCAGCAACGACTTTAATTTTCTTCATTCAGAAAGTTGCCACCTGTCAGTAGAGCAGGAAGAGCAGCCTTGACAACCTTGCTTCAGCGCATTCGCTTTTGCATTGCCTCTTGCTCCTCATCAGACTTCCCCACACCATGTATTCCCCACAGGCTTTTCCTTTTTAGACAGAGGTACCAACCACATTCTGCTGGTGGGATGGGATGGTCTGCGCCCCACTGCTGTGATCCTCGAACACAGCACCGGCCCACAAACTTAAGTGCCTACAATTAGGACTGACTTCCAGCCGTCTTCCCAGTGGTGTCTCACTACATGATGTGTTGCCGTGTTCCATTGGAGGCTTCTGCCTGTGCATTGTCAACCCCAGCTATCATTCAAGTCTCGATTAGATTGCTGGGTTACCTGCCACATTCTCTCCAAGGAGTGGGGTCCACATGCCCTGTAGTCCTCTACCTCAGAGCCCTGAGTCATCTCCGAGCACCCCATTCTCCTCGCTCCACTCCCCGTGTCTCGTCCCCGCGTGCATGTGGTTCTGCAGGTCTTCCCAGTCCTTGTCCCATACCTGTTGTATTGAGCCATCACTGCACAAATCTTGACTGAGCATGGCGTGGAGAAGGTCTTAGGAGGGAGGAGGGCCACTGCCTCCACGGGGGCATCTTGGATCTAGAGAAAGCAAGCTTCTGAACTGTGTTGTGTGGAGACCCAAAAGGCAACAGAACATGAACAAATACTTCCGTTGGGACAAGCCCCCCGAGAGCCTTCAAAGCCCCTGTGTTGCCTGCGCCCAGCAGGAGAGGATGCGGCAAGGGAGCAGCTCCTGAACGGATGTGACTTCGTGGAGCACCATCTGACAAGGTATAAACTACAACACTGAAATTCCCAGAAGTTCTAGCTGCCTTAAGACTTTCTTTGGAAGATCATTGTGTGTACAGTCCCTTTTGTGTGTGGCATAAATAATATACTAACCTGTTACAACTGGTGATAGTGGTTTTCCGTAGCTAGGGAATCTTGAGTCAGGACTGTTCGACTGCTGACTTGCCAGGTGGGCAGATATGTGGCACCAAGAGGGAGGGCAGTGGCTGGGCAGCAGGTGTGGCCGCTAGCCCACTGGAGCCGTGCTTGGTGTGTGGAGATGCACCTTGAAGGACCATGGCGCTTTAATAGCAATGTTTGCTTGGAGTCCATGTAATGGAATGTATTTTTCAGATACTGATATTTGCATTTTCTGTAACAATTCCTTATAATAAAATAATGTAAAATTGTGCGTTAATGTGGAGACTTTTAATAAGATGTTTGCAATCACATTTGATACAGAGATGTCAGTCAGTGTAACAGCCATTCTCTAGGAGTGTCGGTTCCACAGCTCACAGCTTTGCTGTCAGTGGCAGCAGGTGGGCAGCTGCCTGCACTTTGTGCCCTGGGCTCAGGCCTGAGCTGGCGGTGGTGGGCGGTGGAGCAGATGCACTGGCTTGGTTCCCTGAGCCCCTTGAAATGCCCCCCAAAGACCCTGGAAACCAGCTCCCTGGCTCCACCACTGAGGAGCAACCCAGAGGACCCACTAAGGCTGTTTGTGCTGTCCGAGGGTAAGGACTAAGAAAGGGTTCCAGGTTTGTGAGTTCAACCGCAGGGCCTGTCAGACCCCTGGATGAACCCCAATCAAGAAGTTCACTGGCCTACACAGACTTAGTTCCTTTCTTTGCCTGTCTCCTGCTATGAGACCAACCATGGGGACAGAGCTTGTCCCCCCACTGGCTTTGTTCCCACAGGTGCTGGGCACTGCTGTATTCCACAGAACTCTCCCAAGTGATCTGCGTCATTGATGCGCTGGCTGCTGTGTCATGTAGATGGAAGCAGGCACGCAACACCTCTGACGCTCTGTCCACCCAGGGAAGAGCACTGGCTCCGAGCGTGCTAGCACTGGCTGGCTCTGGGATTAGGCAGGTATCCTCATGTCTGTGCTTCAGTTTCCTTATCTGTAAGCTGAAGGATACTGTGACCCTTTCTGGTTCATGGGTTTGCCCGCAGGCAGGCATGAGTAACCAGTGTCCTTTGAGAACACAGATGGTGGTCTGGGTCCCTCTGGAGAGGGCTGATGAATTGTGGGCCAGAGCTGGCCTGCCACACTGCCCAGGCTAACGGGAAGAAGTGCAAAGAGCCAATGGGAAGAGTGCGTGGTGGGGACGAAGCTCCAAGTGGGCCAAGAAGGAATGGCTAGAGGGACAGAGGGAGGTCGGCACAAGGCCAAGGCAGGACCTCAAGGTGGGCAGTGTCCAGCACAGTAGCATGAGCTGAGAACAACAGTGGTCACAGGAGTTGGCAGGGCAGAATGGGTCCCACTGTTGGCTAGAGACGGCAGCTGACTGGTGCCCAGAGAGGGAGGTGGAAGTGCAGAGATGGGGTGGTAAGGATATACAACCTCAGAAAGCTTGGCTGTGGCCACTGGCGTTGTGGTGTGATAGGCTAAGCTACCACCTGTGACATCAACACCCCATACAGGCACTGGCTCATCTCTTGCCTGCTCCACTTCTCAATCCAGCTCCCTGTTGGTGGCCTGAGTAAACCAACGGTGGTTCAAATGTTTCAGGTCCTGCCACCCATGTGGGAGACCCAGATGAAACTCCTGGCTCCTTGATTTAAGTAAGCCCAGTGCTGGCTGTTCAGCCATTTGGGGAGTGGACCAGCCAATGGAAAATTTGTGTAACTGCTTCAGAAAAAAACACATGAATCTTTAAAACTTTTTTTTTTTGGAGGGGGGGAGTAAGCTTGGTTGTAGAAAAAGTGGATATAGCAGCCACAGATAATTGGGGAGTGGGTAACAGTGAACATTTTAACTGACTTGAGTTGTTTAATGCACGTTTAGGAGGAAGAGGAGGGGCGAAGTTACCAGGTGAGGCAGACCTCACCAGACAAAAGGAGCCATGATCCAGAACCAGGTGTACAAACATGGACGCCAGTTCACATGGTCCGCAGCGGGGACAGCCAGCCAGTCTGGAGAGCTAGTTGGTAATTTGGATGAAAGGAAGGGGCGCAGCACGAGGGACACTTAGAGGACAGTGGGGGGAGGAATTAAGGTGCACTCGGTGAGGAGAGCCCAAACAGTCCTCATTTCCACGTGAAGGCTGAACGTGGGGCCAGCATCGGCACAGCAGGCTAAGCCACTGCCTGTAGTACTGGCATCCCACGGGAGTACCAGTTTGAGTCCTGGCTGCTCCACTTTTGACCCAGCCTCTTGCTCATGTGCCTGGGGAAGCAGCAGGAAGATGGCCCAAGTGCTAGTGTTCTCACTTCCCCTGTAGGAAACCCCAGAGAGTTTCTGGCTTCTGCCGGGCATTTTGGGAATGAATCAGTAGAGGAAGGATTTCTGTCTCTAGTGGTCTGAAACAAATAAGTAAAAAAAGGCAAGCCCTCCGCCCCATCTACTTAAGAAATCCAGGGGTTGGCCCAGCGTGGTAGCCTAGTGGCTAAAGTCCTTGCCTTGAATGGGCACTGGTTCTTATGCCAGCAGCCCTGCTTCCCATCCACCTCTTGACTTGTGGCCTGGAAACACAGCTGAGGACGGCCCAAAGCCTTGGGACCCTGTGCCTGTGTGGGAGACCCCGAAGAGGCTCCAGGCTCCTGGCTTTGGATTGGCTCAGCTCTGGCCATTGCAGCCACTTGGGAAGTAAATCATCAGACAGAATATTTTCCTTTGTCTCCTCTTCCTCTCTGTATATCTGACTTTGCAATAAAAAGTAATTTTTAAAAATTCCAGGGGTGATGGGTATGTGTTCTGCATGCGTACACCAGGGCTGTCTGCACTGGCCACTGCAGCCTGACCCCAAGTTTGGCATGGTGCTCTCTGCTTACCTTGAAATAACTGCAGAACAACCAGGGCTCAAAATGCAGGACTCTCCCTTTAGAAAACATGCCCCATCTGATTGAAAACCTAACAGGGCCAGTGTCCTTGACAGGGCTGCTCCATTCAGGATGCTCCGATTGTAGCATGAGCCTTTCCCCTCACACGACTGCGTCCCAAGGGGCCCAGTGCCGGCCACTCCCTGGAGATGCAGCCAAGCCTCTCTGGTGCAGATACCGTCCTGAGAAAGGCCATCAAAGCCAAGGATCACTGGTAGCCATTGGGGGTCCTCCTTGGCCGATGCTCTGCATGTCCTTGCAGGGCCCAGGCCAGTAGCACGTGCAGCCAGCCCTGGGGAAGGCAGCTACTGGAGCTCTGAGATTTGTTTTTGTTGTCCAGCTGTTCAGTGAGGTCAGTCCGCAAGCTTCTGAAGAAAGGCAGCACAGGCCCACAGGGGGAGAGTGCGAACCGCTGCCCAGTGCCGCTGCCCAGTGCCGCTGCCTGGCTCCTGCCCTGCCCACCAGAAAAGTATTCTGTGGGGAGGAGGCTGAGGCGCATGTGCAGACAATGACCAGTCCTTCTCAGCAGGGGCCAGGTGCCTCTCGGGGCAGGGTTCTGCTGGGTATCAACAGAGGGCACCAATTCAGAGTGGGAAGGAGCATGTGGTGGCCAGAGGTGGGCAACCTGGGTACTCCTGCAGGCCAGGGTGGTCCAAGTCCCCATGGTTTCTGTGGGTGGGATCACTGGGTGTCTGCTCACTCGGGGGGCCGGTTGGTCTCACACACACACAGTGGGGCTCCTTGGCCCCTGGCTTATATAGCTTCCTGGGGACGCCAATCCAGTCTCGGCTCACACCTCCGCTGAGAACAGAAAGAAAGGGGACTTCTTAAAGGGGCAACTCATGGACAGGGAAGCCAGAGGCCGGAGGCGTGTGCCAGGCCCCTGGGAAAGCAGGGCTGCTCGTCTGGCCATCTGGTGTCGAGGCAGTGGTTGCAGCTTTCAGCCCTGGGCCTGCCCCTAGCCACCCCGGCACCATGCCAACACCCCTTCTCAAGGTCAAGGGCAGAGCCCACCACTCAGCCCTGTCCTGTCCTGTCCTGTCCTTCCCTAAGGACTTCCCCACCATGTAACCCCCAGGGCAGGCCTGGGACTTGATCTTAGGGTACCTGGCTGGGGGTGAGCACCTGAGACGATCTGCCTGGGTCTGTCAGCTATGGCCCGCTGCCTGTCCCGTGCAAAGGCCCACTCCTTTGTGTTCCTGGGCTTCAGAGGCCAAGCAGTCATCTAAGGGCACTGAGGTCACTTACATGGTAAGAATCCATCCCAGAAGCACACAGTGAGCACAGGCCGACACACCAGGCCAGGCCCCGCAAATCCCCGGGTGGGTCCGGAAAGCCTTGGTGGGGAATGGAGCCTGAGCGCTGAACACCGAGAGGGGATGGGCAGACGAGGAAGACCCACGCGCACACAGGCTGACACCTCACACCGGCTAACTGGAGAAGCAGCCCCTTCTAAACTGCTGGTCAGGAATATAGGGGCTCTTTTCCCGCTGCTCCCCTGAAGGCAGGTAGAGATGTGAGATGGCTCTGAGGTCAGCGAGCAGGGCATGGGGGGCACAGGCAGCATAGCCCTGGGGGTCATGCCTGACTCCCACTGGCAGCGGCAGAGATCTCCCTGCCACCCTGTGAGAGCTGGCCTGCACAGTGAGGCCCTTCAGGGACCACTTCCTGACCTCCTTTGTGCCCCGCAGCAGAGCAAAAGGAAATCTTAGGGACTTGAGTTAAAGCTCGAGCCCCAGCGAGGTGACACAGCACCTAGCCCACCTCAGATGGGCCTCAGCATCCATCCTGAGCTGGCTCTCCTCCTCTGATTCTGGGCCTCAGGGCACTGGTGTTCTCACTGCAGCCATGGCAGCGGGAGGACATGGGGCCCTCTGACCTCCCTGTGTCCTGTAGGCAGCCATGATTGTGCTGAAACCAGGAGGTCTGAGGGCCCACATCCCTGGGATGCTGGGATGAGCAGGGGACACTGCTGCCTGTGATGCCGGCATCCTGTAGCACAGTGCTGGCTGCAATCTGGCCACGCTTTGGGCCCTGCCACCCAAGGGGCGGGGCGGGAGACAGGGCTCCCCAACCATTGTGGCTGTTGAACTAGTGAATGGAAAAGCTGTCCCTTTTCTCTCTATCTTTCAAAAAATGAAGATGAATGTAAAGAAACAAAAACAAGATATCAAGCGAGAGCAGAAGCAGTGCTGGTACCTGTGGTCCCAGACCAGGGCTCCTCCACGGAGGCTGGTGGGGACGGAAGATCAAACAGGCAGCAGTCACTGGTGCACGGCACACAAGTTTTCAACCATGTCCCTCAGCTTCACTCTGAGCCAGGCTCCCTGGATATTGCCGTCAGGGGTAATGGGCCACTGAGCTGGGAAGGGTGCAGCGCGGGGAGCCTGCATACCTGTTTTGGGAACACCAGAAGCGGCTGCCCTTGGCTGCACTCCACTCAGCATTGCACGGTGGGAACTGCTGCTTCTCTTTGCGCTCCTGTTTACTGGCCTCCAAGCCTTTGGTGATCATGGCTTCTACGTGGGTCAGCTCTGGGGTGGGTAGCCCGTCCTCTCCGTAGAAGCGTCCAATCACCTTTCCTGGCATGAGAACGCAGTGAGAGTGAGGAGTGGAACAGGTGCCTATTTTCCAAGGCCTCCCTCATTTACCACCCTGGGCTCCACAAGCGGTTTCCCTCCCACTAACTGGGCTTTACTATTCCCCACCTCAGCCTGGAAGGCGTTCCCCTGGCCCGAGTGGCCGCCAGCTCCCAGCTGGACTGTGAGCCCCTCCAGAAGTCTCCCCTCTGCTCTTCAGGTGCTACACTGCCCTACACAGCGCAGTGCTCAGTCTCATTCACGGACACGGCCCCTACTCGCGACCTGCTCCCGTGGTTATGATGCCTCTCTCCCGTCAGCGAGCTCCAGCACTCAGAACAGCTTAGGGCTGAGCATGCCCTTGCACTCCTGGTCCAGTGAGCCGGTGCAGGGGGCAGGGCCCAGGTCATAAGGCTGCAGTGCAGGAGCTTTCTGGACTGCTCCTCACCACACAGCAGCTCTGCATTGCACATGGACACGCCTGTCTTAGTGAATTTTAGACATGGCTGAGGCAACAGGGAAGCTGTATCGTGAGAGAGGTTGTTGCCATGGATGGACCCAGAGCCCAACCAAAGCATCTCGTTTTCTCTTGAGGCCTGAGGGAGGACTACAAGACGATTTCCTGCACGTGCCCCTGTGCACACCTGCATCACAAGCCTTCATCTCCCACATCCTGCAGGGTTTCTAGGGACCCGAAAGAGCCTTACAGGGCCTCCACCCCTACAGAATGCACTAACCAAAGACAAGGACTGGAACTCGGCAGTGGTGCCTGCTCAGAAAGGTCCTCCCTTGAACTGAAATCCCCCAAGGGGAAGTCCCATTTCCCCAGCCTCCCTTTTTGCTGTATTCTAATGAGATTTAGTTCACTCTATTTGTTCCCTAAATCTCAGAATGAGGCATTGGACCTTCCGTGTTCACTTAGTCATGTCTGTACTCAGGGGTGGTGACCTCTCGGGGACAAGGAAGCACCACGCGCCCTGAAGTGTGGGTGGACAGAGGCGAGTTCCTTTAATGGCCTCAGCAAGGGGCTGAGCACATTGAGGGAGAATACAGAAGGGTGTGCCACGCAGGCCCATGAGGGAGCAGGTAGGGCTTGGAAATGCATAGACATGAGATGGTACAGGGACAGTGCGGTGGCAGGCAGATTAAGCACCTCCATCCCACATCAGAATGCTTCAGCTTAACACCCACCTTCAGCTTCCAACTCCTGCTTCCTTGTAACACAGGCCCAGGAGAGGCAGGGCTGCTGCCACCTACATGGCAAGGTAGGCTGAGTCCCTGGCTCCAGGCCTCAGCACTGGCCCAGTCCCAAATGTGGCAATTTATAGAGTGATTGCCACATTCAGGACTGGGCCGGTGCTGATGTGGCAATCATTTAGAGTGAACTGGCAGCTTGTGACATTCTCCCTCTGCCCTCAAGTTTTAAAAAATTACATATATATGTGTGTGTGTGTGTGTATACATATACATATCACAGATTTCGACCATGAGTACAATCTCTGAAGGTTCCCAGCCCCCATCTTATAGAAAACTGCAGATGTGTGGGAACGGCCAATGGGCTACCTACCTACAAACGTGTACTTCTTCTCATAGAATGAAAGCCAGTGCTGCAGCGTGAGCATCTCTGAGAGGGACAAGTCAGACACGTCGTCCACAAGGCCTGCCTCAGAGTAGTCCCCAGTCACAAACGCTCTGGAGGCGTCGCGGCCTGCAGGAGAGAAGCAGTGACCAGCGAGGTAGGGCGTGGGCCCCACGCCAACCCCCACGCCTCACTGGCCACCAGGCAGGAGTTACGCCTTCTCCTGTGCGGCACACACTGCTGGGGCGTGAAAGGCACAGGCCACTTCTCCTCGCTTCCTCCCTCTCGGTTACCTCCTCCGTGTCCCCATCCCCAGGCACCATTCTGTGGCTGTAGGTCCCACCTCTGTGGCAGATCACATCACACTGGCATTTGTAGCCGAGATTTCTCCCAGGCCCTCAACAGCTCATCATCACATTCTTCTGACTCTGTTTTGATGTATGTGTGTGTGTGTTTAAGTACTATGTGATGAAACTAGGCTTTTTGTTTGTTTATGTGAAAGGCAGATTTACAAGAAGGACCTAGAAGATAAAAAGGCATGAAGTACTAATAGGTGCTCACACAACACACACAACATGGATGAGCCTGGAAATACATTGCTAAAAAAAGATGCCATGCAAAAACGTTGCATATATGTGAAATGACAGGGGGTTGGGAGGCAATGCAATCACTCAATTGGCAAATCCTTCCTCTGCAAATGTTGCCATTCCATATGGATGCTGCTTCATGTCCTGGCTGCTCCCCTTCCCATTCAGCTCCCTGCTTGTGGCCTGGGAAAGCAGCAAAAAGTTTGGGACCCTGCGCACAACGTGAGAGACCCTGAAGAGGCTCCTGGCTCTTGACTTTGGATTGGCTCAGCTCTGGCTATTGTGGCCATTCGGGAAGTGAACCAATAGATGGAAAATCTCTTTCTCTCTGTAAATCTGCCTTTCAAATAAAAATAATACATCTAAAAAAAAAAAAACAGGGCTTAGTGTGGTAGCCTAGCAACTAAAGTCCTCGACTTGACACGCCACAATCCCATATGGGCAAATTCTAATCATGGCAGCCCCGCTTCTCATCCAACTCCCTGCCTGTGAGCTGGGAAAGCAGACGAGGACAGCCCAATGCCTTGGGACCCTGTACCCTTGTGGGAGACCCAGAAGAGGCTCCCAGCTCTTGGCTATCGATCAGCTCACCTCTGGCCATTGCAGCCAAATGGGGAGTGAACCAGGAGACAGAAGATTTTTCTCTCACCTCCTCTCTGTATATCTGACTTTCCAATAAAAAAATAATAAGGACCCAGTGCTGTGGCCTAGTGGCTAAAGTCCTCGCCTTGCATGCGCCGGGATCCCATACGGGTGCCGGTTCATGCTCGACTAAACATACTTCCCAGCCAGCTCCCTGTTTGTGACCTGGGAAAGCAGTCGAGGACGGCCCAAAGCCTTGGGACCCAGCATCCACACTGGAGACCTGGAAGAGACTCTGGGGCTTTGGATCAGCTCAGCTCTGGCCATTGCAGTCACTTGGGGAGTGGATCATTAGATGGAAGATCTGTCTCTCCTCCTCTCTGTATATCTGACTTTGTAATAAACAAAATGAAAAATGATAAATCTTGAAAAAAAAAAAGATGAATCTATAGAAGCAGAGTGACACCAGGGCTGCAGAGGGGTGAAGGCAACTGCTAACAGATACGACTATGACTATGCGAGTTTCTCTTTGGGGCGATGCAAATGTTTGGGGATTATAGTGATATGTAGACAAGTTTCCTGAGTCGTGTACTTTACAATGGCAGGGCTGACTTTATGAGAACTTTATCTCAACCAAAAAAGCCCCAGAATGAACCAATAAAAATAATTTGTCTCAACTGTGGCAGTGGGGAGCCCATCAGGGCCATATCCGCTTCCTCTGTACTTGCCATTCATTGGACATGGCATAGTGGTCCTTCAATGATGCTGAGTGGATACTTGGCACACAGGAAGGAGCTCAGGGCAGCACAGGGCAAAAGAAAAAATCACCCCAGGTCCGCACTTGGGCGCCCACGTTCCTGATGGCTGCGTCAGCCTCTCCACCCAGAAGTGCCCTCCACTGACTGGTACCAAACACCTGGATGCCAGCCCAGTTCTGCTGGCTCACTGTGCGGCCCTGCCCCTACTGAACTGTTGGCAGAGCTCGTCAGGATCAACCTGTCTCCATTCCTTCCCAGTCACACCTCTGTTTCTGATTTCCCTGGAGAGGAAAATGATGTGTGCCAGGCAGGTGGTTTTCCCACGCCCCAGGACAAGGCGAAGGCGCTGTCAGCCCAGCCATTAGCCCTTCCCCAGCTGTTACAGCCACAGCGCTGTAAGGGTCGGGCTGGAGGTCTCCTCAGGGTGCTGCCTGTACACAGGAGTGCAGGGTTTAGGCAATTCACATGCTTCAATCCCCTCGGGGGATTTGCACAGCTTTATCTAAGTTCTGGGGTGCACCGGACAAGTGAATAGATGACCCCCTGCCTTCCTGTGCTCTAACCTCTTAATGCTGAAGGGCAAACATGGATTTCAAGCACGGATGGAGCTGGGGTGGCGCTAAAGCCACTGCCTGCGTCCCTGGGGATGCTGGGTCCAGTCCCAGCAGCCTCCCTTCCGATCCAGCTCCCTCTAACAGTCTAGGAAGAAGTTGAGTCCCTGAGACCCCCATGGTACCCGAAGGGGTGCCAAGCTCCTGGTTTCTACTTGACCCCAACCCTGGCTGCTGGGGGGCCACGTGGGGTGTGAACCCGCATATGTAAGACTTCTCTGGCTCCCTCCATCTCTGCAACTCGGCCTTTCAAATACATGCATACATCCTCTTTTAAAAACAAGTTCTTGCACCAAAGGTACTATTTTTAGGGATAACGAAGTCAGAGGACAAGGAAACGTTACTTGGGATCGCGCTCCCGCACTAGTCCAGTGCAGAGCGCGTTTCTGTACGTGGCAAAGAGACAAGCTTTCACGAATGACAGTGAAAGGGCGCAGCTGAGTGTTCCCCGCCGGGGGCTTCTGATGAGAGGGAAGCACAAGAATAAACGCCATCACCCGAGGAACGCGGTGCACGGGCTCGGGAGGAGGAGGCAGAGCGGGGCGGCGCCGGCCTCGCGGTACCTGCGAAGCCGCGGTAGTGAGCCCCGGGCTCGTAGTGCCTGCGGCCAGAAGACACGTCGTAGACGCGGCCGAGCAACGCCAGGTAGAGGCCCGGGTCTTCCGGGCCGCCCCGGTAGCGGGCCAGCTCCTCCGGTAGGAAAAGGCGGACGGCGGCGCGCGGCCGCCCCCAGCCCAGGAGCCGCGCGGCCAAAGCCGCCGCCGCCGCCGCCACCGCCAGGCCCAGCAGGACCCCGCGCCCGCCGCGCGCCGGCATCCCCCGCAGCCGCCTCAAGATGGCGGCGCCGCCGGCCGCCACGTCCCCCGCACCACTCGCTCGCCGCCCTCAGAGTGTCAGGCGGAGAGCTCGCGCCCCGAGGCTGACGCGTCGTCGGGACTGTCCCCTAGCACCGTGTGAACACGCGCAGAGAGTGGCGCGGTGCCGACGCCTCGGGCTTGTAGGCTCTTCGCCCCCAACAAAGATGGCGGCAAAGGCGGCGTGACGTAGGTGCTAGGCTCTCCAGAGGGTTCCGCCCGGCTTTGGTGCGCTGCTACTAGGGTCCGCCTGACGGTGCTTTTGCGACAGGAAGCCGGAAGCCGTCCGTCCCCTCCCGCAGGGCGCAGGCGGAGGTTGACAGGTCGCGGCGGGGAGGCGTCGGCGGCCAGCCGGTCGCCCGGGACGGCCATCTCATGGGGAACGCTACGAGTCACAGCAGCGAGGACGAAGCGGCCGCCGCCGGCGGGGAGGGCTGGGGGCCGCCGCCGCAGGACTGGGCGGCCGACGCGGGTTCGACCCCCGGCCCGGGCCTGGCGGCGGCCCCGGCGCTGCCCTCGGCCGCGGCGCTGCTGGAGCCCGCGCGGCTGCGGGAGGCGGCGGCGGCATTGCGGCCCGCGCCGCCCTGCGAGTCGTTGGTGTCGCGGCACCACGGGGCTCTCCTGCGCTGGCTGGAGGAGCGGCTGGGCCGCGGCGACGAGTCCGTGACCCTGGAGCAGTTCCGGGAGCTGCTGGAGGCTCGTGGCGCGGGCTGCTCGGGCGAGCAGTTCGAGGAGGTCAGGGCGCGCGTGCGGCCGGCGGGCGAGGGCGCGGGGCGGCGGGGTGGGCTTCCCTGGGCTCCTGCTGCCCAGGCGGGAGTCGGGGAGGGCACGAGAGAGCTCGGGACAGCAGGGTGGGCCAGCCGGGGGCAGTGTGGTGGGCTTCCCGGGGACGGCGCGAGGCCAGCCGGGGAGGGCGCGGGGCGGCAGGGTGGGCCAGCCGGGGGCAGTGTGGTGGGCTTCCCGGGGACGGGCCAGTGGGGACCCCTGCTGCCCAGCCAGGAGCCCGGGGCCAGCCGGAGGTGCAGGCTGACTGCCCTCCCGGGACCCAGGGAGTGCCAAAGCAAACCCGTTGCGTCTGGTTGATGCGCGTCCGTTTTTTTTCCACAGAGCACTTTCTGAACGCCCTGTGGGCACCAGGAAAAAAAAAAAAAAGTTCCATTCTGCAGAGACCCACATACGTTCTAGAGGTTTCTGTTTGTTTTCACTCATCGTTTAGACTCACACCCTCCTCTGATCTGAAATTGATAGATATCGAATTTCCTGTGAATACTTGTAATTATACGGTTGCCCTCCACTCCCATCCCCTGCAACCCTCATTCTCCTCTCTGCCAAGTCCTCCATGATGGACATTGATTGGGCAACAAAATATTTTCCCTGCACTAGTTCTTAAGAATTATTTGACCCGAACACTTCCTGTCGGTGTTGGGATCACCCAGGAAATCGTTGGCAAGCCTGGGTTGGTTTGGTCTTTGCGTTTTAGTTTAAGGCAGAACGGGGATCCAGTCTGCTGGTTCATCTCAACAGGGAGGAGCTGGGAACTGGGTGCCAGTCTTGGAGGTGGATCACAGTGACCCAGCCGCCGAGCTGCGTCCAGGATCTGCCTTAGCAGCAGCAAGCCCCGGCCCTCACACTGGTGTAGGCAGTCCAGCAGCAGGCCAGCCTCTGCGCCGCTTTTCTTTATTACTGTGTTTGGTGGTGGTGGTTTTTGGCCCACTGCCTCCTTGCAGTCATTTCTTTAATTCCAAATTGTATAAAAATGCTTGCTTTGTGAAAATGAGAAGCAAGCCAGGAAGAATATTTATTGTCAGGGCAAATATAAAACAGTAAACCAACAGGTTGTTAGGCCATTAAAAGATTCTGTTGATTTTTATCTATTTCAAAAAAGATGGAGACAGAGCTCCCCTGTACTGGTTCATTCCCTAAGTGCCTGTGACAGCCAGGGCTGGGCCAGGCCTATGTCAGAAGCCAGGAGCCTCATCCAGGTCTCCCACCTGGGTGACAGGGACCATGTTCCTTGAGCCATCCTCTGCCACCTACCAGGGTGCACATTGGCAGGGAGCCGGATCACAGAACCAAGTATCTGGAATTGAAAGCAGTTGGCCACCCCAAATGAGATGTGAACATCCCACCGTAGAGGCTTCTAAAGTGGCCCAAGAATGTTCTTGTGCATGGGCACAACTCAAATGCTGTAATTTTTTAAAAGGTTTATTTATTTTTATTGCAAAAGTCAGATATACAGAAAGGAGGAGAGACAAAAAAAGATCTGTCTGTCGATTCACTCCCCAAGTGGCCACAATGGATAGAACTGAGCCGATCTGAAGCCAGGAACCAGTGCTTCTTCCAGGTCTCCCATGCGAGTGCAGGGTCCCAAGGCTTTGGACCATCCTTGACTGCTTTCCCAGGTCACAAGCACGGAACTGGATGGGAAGCTGGGCTGCTGGGATTAGAACCATCACCCATATGGGATCCTGGCGTGTGCCAGGCGAGGACTTTAGCCACTAGGCTACCATGCCTGGCGCAAATATTGTAATTTGTATGCTTCATATTTTCTTTAGAAGAAAATACCTTTAAGGCAGCCAGACTCTTAAAGATAAGCCTCGTGGGCCTGGCACAAGACCTGGAAGAGCTCCTGGCTCCTGGCTTTGGATTGGCACAGCACCGGCTGTTGTGCTCACTTGGGCAGTGAATCAGTGGATGGAAGATCTTCCTCTCTGTCTCTCCTCCTGTCTATATATCTGACTTTGCAATAAAAATAAATCTTAAAAAAAAAAAAGATAAGCCATATGGAGTGTTGCCCCCCCACCCCCTTTCGAGAGGCACCCTACCTCCTGGCCTTCTCTCGGGAGGTGCGTCCCCTTTCCCTCTCCCTACCCTCTCACCTGGTCGCTTCGCAAATACACTTTTCTGTCTGCAAAAAAAAAAAAAAAAAAAAATCAGACATATGAGTGAAAGGTGTCCATTTAAAAATAAAATTCCAAGAATACTCATAGTACTTTGCCTCTCATGCCCGAGTGTGTGAATATAAGGCCAGAAACGCCTCAGGGTGTGGTGCAGAGAGCACTCAAGGCCTGTGATGGTATTCATTCGTTAAGTAAATATTTGCCGGGCGCATGCTCAGTACCAGTCACTTGAATGACTGTGGACCATGCAGGTAGTGTCACTGACGGAGTGTGTGCTGGAAGAGCCACGGGGAGTGGAATGCAGGCCACGCAGGAGTGCATAGCCGGGGGTCCTCCATCTCCTCCAGGGAGCCAAGGCAGGCCGACCTGCGAAAAGTGGTTCAGCCCATTTTGAAGGGCCAGCAAAGTAGACAAGGAGCCAGAGGCGGCCGCCGTGTCTCAGGCACAGTGCTTCTGGAAGAAACCTGGAATGTGGATTAAAGCTAGACAAAATTGCTCAAAGGGCGCGAAAACCCACAGCATCTGTGGTTATTAAAAGAGGAAGAAAGCTGCTGCCCTGTATGAAAGCAGTCCAGGAAGGTGGTGCCCGGGCGGAGCAGCAGCTTTACAGCCACCCGGTTCAGCGGACTTTGTCTTTCGTGCTCTCCGCCTGCATGGGCACCTCGCACCCAGTGAACCCTGGGGACGGCTCCTGCTGCCAGTGTCCTTCCACTTTCTCCTGGAGGCAGAGCTGCATGCCTCCGTACCAGACTCCATTGCAGGGCCACACTGAGCCTTGAGAGAAGCTGGGAAAGATCTTGTTCCAGGACTGTGGCCGTTACTGCCCTGAGAAAGAGAAGAGCTACAGAGTGCTGGTTAGCAGGCTATGACGCACAAGCTGGAGTAGCAGCGGGGAGCAGACTTGCAGGTCCTTGGTGGCCTGTTCTGGAGTTTGTGAATTGAAAGTTTTAGACAAAGAGCTGGAGCTGGAGCGGGGCTGGAGTGGACCCTGGAGATCAGAGGCTGGGGCTGGCACAGCCTGGGCTGCTGTAGGGGGCATTTGGAGAGACCGTTCTCTCCCTCTCTCTCCCTCCCACCTATCCCCCTTCCCTTTTGCTTTGCCTTTCAGATGCGTAAGTGCATCTTCTAGTATTTTTCTAAAGTGATTAATATCACTGTCCAGTGAATTGGCAGGTGAACAGCAGAGATCACATTCAGAGGCAGCAGGTGCGTTAGACATCCTGTGCATCGGTAGAGAGGAGAGAGACACCGAAGATGAGGCATACATATGGACTTGAACGAGTGCTGCTGGTTATTGAGAGAAGAACCTTGTTAAGGAAAGATCTGAAGAGGGAAGATGAGCTTGGCTTTGACCATGGGAGGTTTATTTGTTTATCTCGTAATTGGGGAGACAGAGAGGGAGGTCTTCTACCCATTGGTTCATTCCCCAAATGACAAGCAATGGCCAGAACTGGCTGGTCCGAAGCTGAAAATCAGGAGCTTCATCTGAGTCTCCCACCTTGATGCCAGGAACCTAATCCCTTGAGCCATCTTACGCTGCTTTCCAGGGCCATTAGCAGGGAGATGGATTGGACACAGAGCAGTCAGAACTTGAACTTGTACCCCTGAGATGCCAGTGTTGCACACGGAGGCTTAGTATGATACCCCACAGCACCGGGCTGGCCATATGAGTTTCGGGTTCTCGGGGAGGACAGGCTGCTGGGTGCATATAGTGCAGGGAGGAGAGGAGAATACCTGGAACAAACTCTTATTTTCACGTTTTATAGAGCTTTGTGAGAAAATGACTATTTCTTTTTTTATTGGAAAGGCGGATATACAGAGAGAAGAGAAAGAGAGGAAGATCTTCCGTTCACAGGCAGGGAGCTGGATGGGAAGCGGGGCTGCCGGGATTAGAACTGGCGCCCATATGGGATCCCGGGTGTGCAAGGCGAGGACCTTAACCACTGCGCCATCACGCTGGGCCTGTAAAATGACTGTATTTCTTAATAAAGGTTTATTTTTATTGAAAAGGCAGATTTACAGTGAGAAGGGGAGAGAAAGATCTTCCATCCTCTACTACTTTCCCATGCCATAAGCAGGGAGCCGGATGGGAAGTGGAGCAGCTGGGGCGTGCTGGCGGTCATTTGGGATGCTAGTGCCACAAGTGGATTAGTCTGTTGAGCTACAGCACTGGTGTTGGGGTTCAATGAATCCGAGCGAGACTCCAAGGCGAGTGAGATGACTTTAATGCCTAGTCCAAGGGGCAACCTCTTGCCATAAGCAAGAAGCGCCCTGAACGAAATAATTGTGGGGTTTTTATAGTGAAAGAATCAAAAGCTACGTGACAGTGAGCAAGTACATGACTAGGGGCTAACAGTGACACAAAACAGAAAGCATGCGATAGGAATTTACAGCGTATAGATTGGGGGTCCTGATCCTATCACTTCAAAGCAGACAGTAATGAAACAGCACGCCTGGAAGGTCTTTCCCGTAAATCCAAAAACTCCAAGGTTCTCCCTGTCTCCTGCCTCCTGGTGTCTCAGGAAGCAGGAGCTTTGCTCATACTGGATGCAAGGGTCTCTTTGGAGATTCCAGACTTCCAGGACAACAGTCACCTTTACGATTAACCCTTTCACACCGATCCTTATTTCTACTCTTCTGTGTTTTTCTTTCTGTGATCAGGAGTGAAAACTTTGAGCTCAGTGAGAATATAAACCCTTCTGTGGTGGTCCCTAAACTGTTTGGCACAGTTAAATCCAGAGGCCATTCAGTCAGCAGAACCACAGAACTATATGGAAAGACAAAGTTGTGAATGGCTGTACCTTATTAAGAGCCCATAATCATGGCTATCACATT